GGGGTGCCAACCACCCATGGGCTCTAGGAACTGGAGTATGAGTATGTAATGTAGGCTGTGAAGGAAAGGGAGTGGTGGATGGGGAAAAGAAAATCCGAAAGGTGGCAGACTTCAGACCAGCGACCAGAGCTTGCTGGTGCCACAAAGCCATGGCTAGTTGCCATACAACCGAGTCCTTATTCTAACGTACCTCAGGGGTAGAATTCCAAAATTTGGTGTCGCAAGCCGGTACATCAAAACTAGTAACTCTCAAAACGGCCCAAAAACTTTTTTCCGATATAGCGTGACGGAACTAAACACAACGTCATTATTAACCCAAAACAGGATATGTGTGACACCTGCATGGTGCGTGACGCGTCCCCGACGCGCGTCGAGACTTATTGGCTGCCAAGTACTTAACTGTTTTAGCTTTACCATCTTAAAGACATCCACGAGCCATGGCAGAACGACCAGCAGCAGAGATTACAGTCCCCTCAAAGGATCCAAAGGAGAAGAAGAAAGAAGAGGACAAGAAGCTAGACACCAAGGCGAATGGTGCGAAGGATGAGGAGGAGGAACTTGTGAGTGTTAATCACATTAGCGAAATCAACATTAGCTTGATTTATATTTGCTAGTCGGAAGAGGATGCGCAGCTCAAATCTGAGCTGGAGATGCTCATTGAACGGTTAAAGGTACGTGCCACTGATGATCAAAGTAGAACAAGTAATTGAATTAGTAGCAGGAATTAAACACGGATCTCTACCGTCCTGCTCTTGAAACGCTCCGGACACTCATAAGAACATCTACGTCATCCATGACTTCTGTTCCGAAACCGCTCAAGTTTCTACGCCCACATTATCCCGGCTTGCAGGAGCTGTTCGAGACATGGCCCGTATCCGAAAACAAGGTGCGAGAAAAGCCTTTCTGTATGACAATGACTTATCACCATGCAGAGTCTATTTGCCGACATTCTCTCTGTTCTCGCTATGACATACTCCGACACTGAACCACGAGGGACCCTCCGCTATCGCCTTCTTTCTGCATCTCTCCTCCCTCCTACATCCAAAATTTCTGAACCCGGTTCTTGGGGGCATGAATACGTTCGTCATCTTGCTGCTGAACTAGGAGAGGAGTACACCATCCGTCAAGAGGGTGAAGAAGCGGTCCCCTTACCACCACCAGAGGCTGATTCAGACGCGCCTAAATCAAAGCCTGCTGCGGTCCCTGGCACCATCGAAGACTTACACAATCTCGGCTTAGAATGCGCTACGTTTTTCCTGGGCCACAATGCCGAGCCAGACGCCGTTGACTTGTTCGTGGAGCTCGAGATTGTTGACCGAATAGCAAGTCTCGTAGACGCAAACACGTTCGGTCGTGTGTGTGCGTACATGGATCGGTATGTTTGCCTTCGCGTCCATATTCTCATGTCTCAAATCTCTTTTGTAGATGTGTCACACTCCTCCCTCCTCCTGACGATGTCACTTTCTTGCGCACAATACACAAGATCTACCTCCAATTCTCCAAATTCCCCGAAGCTCTCGGTGTCGCGATCCGCCTTAATGACGCTGCACTCATCCGACAAGACTTCAATGCCTCGGGCAACCCGTAAGTCGCGTCACATGCACATTGATACTCACTCATATTTGCTCAGGGTAATGAAGAAGCAGCTTGCTTTCCTTCTTGCACGTGCACAAATTCCCATCGAATGGCTGAAAGCGTCTGCTTCAGAAGACGCGGACGCAGAAGATGAATTCCCAGAAGACATCCTAGACTGCCTAAGCAACACACAGCTCAGTAGACACTTCAAGGAGTTCGGAAAAGAGGTGGGCGTTGCAGATCCGAAGAGCCTTGAAGATGTCTACAAGAGTCATCTTGAGACTACAAGTACGTTTCACTTTTTGAAGTTATGTCTGTCTTTCTGAACTATGATTAGGATCAGGGCTGTCTGCCAATGTCGATTCCGCTCGTGCTAACCTTGCAGGCACGTTTGTCAATGCGTTCGTCAACGCTGGCTTTGGTAATGACAAATTGATGGTGGAAGCCGAGGAAGGCAACAGCTGGGTTTACAAGAACAAAGACCACGGTGATTATCTTACCAGATCGTGAAGCCGGCACACTCACAACCTTTTTCTAGGCATGATGAGCGCTGCAGCCAGTCTTGGGCTCGGACTCCTCTGGGACACGGACGTTGGTCTCAGCCACATCGACAGGTATACATACTCCCCTGAAGAGTGGATCAAGGTATTGTTTACTCCGCGTCACCGTGTATCCCTATTAATTATTTAGGCTGGTGCATTTTTCGCTACAGGCCTGCTGAATGCAGGTGTACGCACGGAAGCAGACGCCGCCCTCGCGCTGCTAGCAGAACACGTAGAGAATCAATCCGTCCCACTCAAAACAGCTGCAATCATGGGGCTCGGCGTAGCATACGCAGGTTCGCACCGTGAGGACTTGCTCGCTCTTCTCCTTCCTGCGGTCGCAGACGACGGCGTGTCGATGGAGATCGCTGCACTCAGTGCACTCGCACTGGGATTCGTGTTCGTAGGCAGTGGTAACGGGGAGATTACGAGCACGATCTTGCAAACGCTGATGGAGAGAGATGATAAGGCTCTGGACGAGAAGTGGGGACGATTTATGGCCTTGGGGTTGGCGCTGCTTTACGTTGGTACGTTTTCATAAGTTTTTTTTGAGTTGGGGGATGTGTTGAGTCAGAGTCGTAGGCTTGCAGGATGCTTCGGATGCCACGCTCGAGACGCTGAAGGCTATTCAGCACCCGATTTCGAGGCAGGCGCAGATTCTTGTGGAGGTGTGCTCCTTCGTTGCCACCGGGAACGTCCTGCGGGTACAGAGATTGCTGCACTTGTGTGGCGAGCACCTTGATGCCCTCAAGGAGAAGGAGCAAGCCGAGAGCGCGGAGGGGAAGAAGGATGAGCACAAGGATGAGAAGAAAGAGGACAAGAAACCCGATGATACATTCCAATCGTTCGCCGTTCTTGGTATTGCGATGATCGCCATGGGCGAGGACATCGGTGCTGAGATGTCCATGAGACAATTCAACCACTTGGTATATCTTTTTGGCAGAGATAATGACCAGTCGTCTTGCTAACGAGTATCATTCTCAGATGCACTACGGCGATCCCATCATCCGCAAATCTGTTCCCCTTGCTCTCGGCCTCATCAGCGCCTCAAATCCACAGCTCCCCGTCCTCGACACGCTCTCGAAATATAGTCACGACCACGACCTCGCAGTCGCACTCAACGCTATCTTTGCAATGGGCCTTGTCGGCGCGGGCACGAACAATGCACGGCTCGCACAGATGCTCCGCCAGCTCGCGGGGTACTACTACAAGGAGCCTGACTGCTTGTTCATGGTGCGCATCGCGCAAGGTCTCGTGCACATGGGCAAGGGCACGATTGGGATCAATCCTTTCTTCTCGGATAGGAATATCATGAGTCGGCCGGCTATTGCGGGTTTACTGGCGACGATCATGGCGTTTACGGATGCTAAAGCCTGTGAGTCCTCTCGGTCTGATTCATGCAACGGATTCTGATAAGTGCATATAGTCGTGCTCGACAAGTACCATTGGATGTTGTACTTCCTCGTGACCGCCATGTATCCTCGCTTCCTCATCACGCTTGATGAGGACCTCGAGAGCAAGCCTGTCACTGTTCGTGTCGGTCAGGTGAGTTCACAGTTTTCTTATTTCATGTCGCGTGTAACTTATCCTTATTCGTCGCATAGGCTGTGGATGTCGTTGGCCAAGCTGGCAAACCACGCACGATATCAGGCTTCCAGACGCACCAGACGCCTGTACGACTGGGGACGACGGAGCGCGCGGAGTTGGCGACGGAAGAATTCATCCCATATGCGCATGTTCTAGAGGGCTTTGTCATATTACAGAAGAACCCTGGGTGGGAGAAGGAGGACACGATGCAGATGTAGGTATATTGCATGCTGTTGTACGTGAAAATTTGCAAAACAGGATAGGGTTTTACGATCAAAGACAACGTGAAACATGAAACGAAAAATATCTCCCAGTGGTCCTGGACACGACATAATGCCGCAACTCACATTCCTACTATACGCTGGGACCCTCATACCACAGCCGTAACTCTCGACTTCGCATTTTTGCACCTGTGTCTTAGACGGCGTGTATTCTCCGATGACAACAGTGTTACTTTGGTATCGGCAACGGAGTAGAAAATGAGGGGCGTTGTGCACCATTGTGATGCAGGGTAATGTCATCTCGTCAAGTGGGTCAAGCGCGCTCGGATCAGGATTGTGCGCAGACTGCGAGATGAAGGAGATACGTGCCCAGCTCGATGATTGCACGCTGAAATTATAGTGGGTAGAGCCGAAAGAACTGCAGGCGCCTCAACGTTCAACGCTTGCAACAAGCTCGCAATCAGCTCGAAACGACCAAATACTCCAGGCAAAAATGCAAAACCTAGTCATGTACCGACTTTACATGAATGAAAACGAGTATTACGTATGATGTATGCAGCGGTGTGCTTACTCCAGTAATTCCTCCCAGATTGGCATGGGCGGCAAGCCTCTTGCTTTTCTTCTTTCTGGGACGTCCCTGGATTACCTGGTGAGTTCGACTGGCACGATATCTAATGGTTGCCCCAGCTCCAACCAGCTTAGTCTGCGGTCACAACAGGGGAGGTGGGCCTTCACGGTCAATGCTATCCCTTCCGAGAGACAATCTCAAACGCTAGTGTCTGGGCTGTGTTTCGGGTGGGGTAGACCTGTGAAAGGTCATCAGTAGTATGTGCACATCTGCCACCCGTCGCGATCGTTTGGTAGAGGGTCGCGCGTGTCACTCAATGACTCAGTGTGACGTCAGATCCACCTTCGAGCAATACCCCCCTTTTTTCAACTACCTCACTTGAGATTGCACAGAACAACTTTCACAGTGTCAGCCAGCGACGTAACTTAATCCGAGATGAAGGAAATTTTCAGTGACCGATCATTCTCATTTCTCTAACATTTTGCCCCTAAAGAGAAAGAGAACACAGCCAATGTTACTCGTTCTGCAAACTCAAGCGGCAAATGGGCTGACAATGAGCTGGTGGCATATAACATAACCGTCACTGCTATACCACCAGTGAATCTTTCCCCAGGAGACTGATGTGCCTTTAACCGCGATAGGCCTTGATCCTATACTTGCCACCGCCGGCTTGGATGTGTGTTGACGCCAATGTCTCGGACAGCACGTACAGTTTTCTCCAGTATCCCAACGATGCTACTACACCGGATCATGGTATGGCTGTTCGTGTGCACAGGATTGACGAATTCGCTCGTGAAGTTCTCATTACAGTTGGCTTCGAAAAGGGTCGGTATGGCGTGTTTTCACCACGCTCGATCCCATTGATGATAACCGTAAAGTCGCGCAGATAAATTTATGCTGGAAGGATGAATCAGACATGCTACTTTTTCTGCAATTGAACCAGACGCAGATGGGTCGCTCAAATGTCGAAGCACACATGATCGTAGGAGCCATTACGGCATAGCAGTTCAACAATAACAAGCGGCAAGAGAGGGGCCTGTATTCACTTGATGCCATGAATATGCCTTGCATCACCATGGTTGGGGCGCCCCACCTTCTACTTGGTGCCGTCACCAAAGCGTTGAGCGATGCAGCCATTTCCTGTCGATATCCGTCAGATAGGACAGAGGTGTTGAAATGTGAGGTCGCAAGTGACTACAATATTAATGGAGGTATGGTCCAGGAGGCACCGGAATGCAGGGGCATTGCCTTGCAATATTATCTTGTATTTAAATCTCTTGCGAAAAACCACTGGGAGAAGTTTAGCGGTTAAAATTGAATCACTCAGGCCGCCATATACAAATTGAATGATGATTTGGACGCACCACTGTAACCGAAACAACTTGCGGACTTTGTGGTTGGAACTTTAATTTGATGATGACTCAGTACTCAGATCTGCATCTGATTCTTATCCGCGTCCGATGCGGCTGGCAGGCCGGCCATATCTAACAGGCTGACTCTTCTGGTCCTCATTAACATTCCCTTCCATGATGTAAAAGCGGGGTAGATGCCTTCTGCTACGCGCAACTCGTGGAATACACAATGCATGTTCAGCAAGTTTTAGTAGCCGACAAACATGAATGATATCGCAGAAAGACATTCAGCCACGTAACAATTGGGCCCAAAAGGAGGATTTTACATTGATAATGGGTAAGTATCTGTCTCGAGAGCAAATGGTCATAGTGCTCACACACGAGTCGCGCGGAATGCCCAACAGGTGCAGGCCAGCGATTCAGAACGTTGACATCAATCTCGAGCACAACTTTCTTGGTTTCGTTTTGTCCTTACATATGTTATATGGGAGACTATACTCGCAGTCTACTGCAGGGAGCTGTCACGAACATTCTCGGCGTCAACACCCGAAGCACGTGTTCGTGATATTCATCATTAGCCGCCTAACCGACTTGCTGTGTACTACCAGCTCTGTCTGCTCACCTCAGACTCTTTCCAATTTCACTAGCTTTTCTTGGAACCAAATCTAGGTGCAACTTCCTCATGTCACAAGCATCAGGCACCGACAGCGTTAAGGATGAGCGCGCCTACAACGACTTGGCTGAGCAGCCTTCCCTGGACAATGACAACGTAGAACACACAGACGAGTAAGTCGCAGTGTCCTGGAGTCTGCCTGCCATCTGACAGCAAGACAGGGACAAGACAAATTGTGAACCTTCGGCGGAGCTGCCATCAGAAATGTAAATATTTCTACCCTGATACTTCTGTGTCGCTCCTCACCAGAACTGCAGCTTGAACACAGGGCTCCCCCAACCATCAGAACCTGACATACAGCAAATCACTTCTAATGTTGCACCGGACTGTGATTTAACTCCGTAAGGTTTTATCGATGACGACGTCCAACAAGTTCCTAAATTGTCTCAGTGAGGCCGAAAAGGTTGTGGTGGAGGAGGACCAGCCAACTCTAAGCGAATTGTGAGCGAAAAATAAGCTGAGCGATCGCGACTGACCACATTCTATGCGCAGGACAAACGTCATGAGACAAGTGTTGGATGTTCTCCAGGACTCGACGGTTGCGTCGAAGATTGGCAAGGACAAACGGTCTCGTTTCTGGGGGGTGTACAAACGAGTCGCAGAGGAACACGACAGCGAGTTCCTCGAGCGATACACTGGTGACATGGACATTGTCTTGGTCTTCGTAGGTTTCGCATGCTTATCGTTGACTCGTTTTAAGGCTGATGTTGATCAGTCTGGTCTCTTCTCCGCCGTCAGCACTTCTTTTATTGTAGCGATGGAGGCTAGTCTCAGTCCCGACCCTAGCGACACCACGAATGCCCTTCTGAAGCAACTCGTGTACATCGGACTCGGCAACCTCGCTGCGGCGGGCTCTACACCTGCAGACCTAGTATCTATGTGGTCGCCAACCGCGCCGACCCTATGGATTCAAACGATCGCATATGCAAGCTTGTCCATGAGCTTGCTCGCTGCATTCGGGGCCGTACTAGGCAAGCAATGGCTCGGGTACTACAAGTCGAATAGATACGGCCGCGGCTCGCAGGAGGAACGAGGAAAGCGCAGGCAGGAGAAGTTTGACGGCCTCGTCACATGGTATTTCGATGCTGTCGTACAATCCTTTCCGGTCTTACTTCAATTCTCACTTCTTCTCTTTGGAATCGCCCTCGGCGCCAACATGTGGTACGAGCAGCCCAGCATCGCTTGGGTGATCATTGCCACAACGGTCTTTGGATTTCTGTTCTATTCGCTGACAGTGATGGCATGTCTGATATCTCCCGCCTGTCCATTTCAGACGCCGATATCGACGATCTTGCGCATATTGCGCATGGACAGTGAGATCATTTTGTTGAATTCTGGTGGTCGTTCCTAGTCTGAATCAACATTGCAGGAGTTCTACGCCTGGTGCTTAAACGAGTATCCTGTTATTTCCAGCAGCTCACAACGTCAATGCACGGTGAGTCGTGTCTTCCTCCGTGTGCACAAGTGTTGACCGTTTCATGTCAGGCGTGCTGGAACAATCGCTTGGTATTGTCGGATCGAGATGGAGCCGTTTGTCTGAAGTATTTAGAGGTAACTTTATCTACTATTACAAAGATATTCTGTGCCGATTTCGGTTCCCAGGGCCCGTACATGCGGTCGGCACATTCACACAACGATTCCTTCAGCAGTTATTCACCACGCTTCATAACTGCCTGCGTTTTGTTGTTCCGCACTCCCTGATAAAGGTCGTGGACCCAGAAGCACAATCGCTCCACCTACATTCGGATGTTTTGTCGGAGAATGAATACGCCCTCACCCTCCCTGACATATCTACCAGCAATCTCGAAGCACCTAGTATCAAGTGGCTGCTGGAGACATCTACGGATCCTGAAGTATTTCTCGCGACTGTCAGCCTTGTTCCGCTGGTCGAATGGCCCCTGGATCTTGACGTCTCGGACATGCTGCCTCAACTGTATGATATTTATACAAGCTGCGTCGGCTTCCATGGGCAAATTATACCGTCGTTGGAGGAGAAGGCCTCGGCTTGTATAATGGCTCTGAGTCATCTATATTGTGGCCGCGTTCTTCAGGCATATCCTGGCCGTGGCGAATTTCTTCGCCGCGAGAGAAGAGACTATGACATTTTTCTTCAGATGAGGCTAAGCCTAGGGCACATCCCTACAGCCGACATGGCGGCGCTAGCCACGACTATGAATTTTTGTGTCTCAGAAGATCATAATTTGCATTTGTGGTTTCCTCCTTGGCTGGACGAGTGGCCCGACTCTGTCCTTGAGTGGCTGTCACATTCTCTTCCTTACCACTTTGTCATTGGGCGAGTGAATAAAGATGTAGAAGAATTCACCATAGAGGTGATATCAAGATTGCTATCCTCTTCATCCTCTCCGTCGAATCAAATCATAGCCAATTGCACTCTTCTTGCTTGCGTCATGGTCGGGGTTCAGTTTGATAAGAAGGACATAATCCGGACTGATAAAAGGTGACATCGACTCATCTGATCCTTCTCCCATGTTTAACAAAGAGATTGTGTAGTTCTTCCCTGCCTCGATTTGCGGATGCTCTTTTGGCACGGTTCCAAAAGGTTATCTGGGCATACGATGGAGGCGATCTCGACACAGACAACACAGGAGTTACACGCCGGGCATGGAGCCTCCTCGGCGTTATTTGTCGCATCCTCGAGCCTGCCAAACAATATTATAATCGCTCATACTACATCATGCAGAACCTAGATGTGTGCAGGAAGATTTATTCACGAGCGAGGTCATCCGAACAAAATCATCTCTGGGAATTGTTGAATGCTCTGCAAAATGCACTGCACTTCACGCTCACTGCTGCAAAAATATCTCGGGACCCTGCCCAATTGCGGTATAAGCAGCTTTTTTGGACAGCCAATTCCCACTCGCCAGAAGACTTCGACTGGTTGGTGGACTACCTCGAGTATATCCATTCCGACGACCAGGAAACGGCATTTGACATCCTTTTGCTCCTGGATGTCATGGAAGTGCGCTGCAGCCCTGCTAAACAACACCAGTTCATCGAGAACCTCACCGCCTGCATGGGCAGTGACATGCCTCACCATTTACGCCATGTCGCTCTTCGCGCCGCTCACAGTGCCCGAGAAGAAATTGCTTCAATCGATGCCATTGATGATGCGAAGCTGCGGGAAATGATTTTGACCAAGTTTTCCCCCGCTATCCTGACTGCGGTTTGTCCGCAACCAGGTGCGACACTCTCCGACAATGACCCTGACCGCTTCTTCCGTTCCGACCGCGACTTGTGCTATCTCGAGCTGATCTTTGCTCTCGCAAGGAATTCCAGCTGGCACTCCCATTTGTCTGGGGACCACCATATAGATCGGTGTATTAGCATGATCGCAGAGCACCACTTCATGCAGCATGCATTTTACCTAGCTGGCATCCTCCTCCGAATCGCACCTGGACAGTCATCGGTCACATCGCTCGATTCTATCACAGAGCAGCAGTGGTGGGACATCATGAATGGCGCATGGGCCCATACCAACTATGTAATTAACGACACGCACTGTTTCGAGTTCCTTCCCGTCCTTGTGGAAGGCACGAAGAGGTATATGCAGATTGCTCCGGAATATGGTCTCGGGGACCTCATTAGAAATGTGGGTCATGTTCTCCAGATACTGGAGAGTCGAGATTCAGAACAGGGAGAGGGAGAGGGTGTTGCCGTTGCTGTGAAAGAGTTGAGGACTGTAGCCAGCGATATGCTTGAGAAGTTGGTCGACGGTAAAGGAGTTATTAGTTCCTAATTAACACGCTGCTTGCATGTTGTACTAAGGACCAGAGGAAGGGACGGTGAAATACGAGTGCGAAAGGGGATAAATATCACGACCAAATCAATATTGATATTCAATTCTGCATCATAGGAGGCAAGTCAACCCTGTACTATATCCATGCAAGTCTATGGTTCTCATACTATCTAAGACTAACCATGATCTCGAGGATATTGATGAGAGCTTCTCAGGTTTGACGAGGGGGTGGATGGGGGGCACTAGCTTGTTTTTAGCTCAATACAAATATTTAACGGGCGCATATATGCTTACCGATTTTACCCTCAACAGCTATAATGTCCTTTATGACTGCCTCGATACGCGCCTTGAGCTTTTGGTGCCAGTCCGACACCCACTTTTGCAGATCTTCGCGACGCAGTTCGCGGTTGCATAAACTTCGCTTGTCAAGCCTAGATTCGCGGCGGAGGTGCTCCACCGCAACGTCGTGGACCGATTCTTCGAGAAGTGTTCGTTGGTTTTCTAGGAGGACGGGCGTGGTTGCGGAGGTTGTAAATGTCGATTTTGAAGCTTGAGCTCGTGCTAGTATCACATTCCTGCCCTCGTCCAGGATTTCTTCAGAGGGCGCCCGAGGAGCTGTTGGTGCGATTCGGATGAAAGAATGCATCGTATACGATGAGTCACGTGACAGGCTTGACCTCTGCAGCGCGTCTGGTATATGGCTTCTGGGAAATTCCGTCTGCCCAAGTACAGCTACTACACAAGGGATGCAGCCTTTGGGGCAAGATGTCAGAGGTTTCTTCGGATGACTTGAATGACATGCGGGCGCGATCTGCGTATGAAGTTGCTAAGGAGGGTAATTGGGCATGGCATATCGGAGAGGCCTGCGTGCGTCTGACTCGGATTAAATCTATCAAGGATAGTTAGTAAAGCAGGTAGATAAATGAAGCGTACCGCACGCTGGCAGCATGATAGCATATGTGGACACTGTCGGGTAGACATTTTCTGTACCCGTTCCCATAGTATCAGAGCCAACATACGTCTTCGGTGCAGCGAGGAGCGGCCCGAATCTAGTGCGTCATGTCAATTGGTGATAGACAAAAAGAACTGTTTGGATTTATAAGTTAGATGATGCACAACAAAATAAGTCGGATAAATGCACATAACCAGTACAGACTCCCGGATTGCATGGTATTGCAATAGGTTTTTGATACAGTACATGCATCAACCCAACCAAGCGCAAGGCCATGCAATACAATTTGGATGCTAAAATAATTGACGCGGGATGATTGAGTGGGTGAAAATTGGCGAGGCACTAAGGGGGGCATGGCATGGCATGGCATGTACAGGTGACAGAGTTAGGTAGTACTGGCGGCTCGCCGTTGCTACGATTAGAATACTTAGTTCCACACCAATTTGCCAATTAATAGACAGCTTGCAGTACCATTTGAAAGCACAATCGTGTGCGCAAGAACAACAATGTTCAACACATAAAAGCCAGCTGTTTTCCTACTATCTTCTTCAGAATCGCCATCGTTGTTGCTTTCAAAACATCATCAATCTCTGCCATGCCCACTGACGCGGCTATCCTTGCTTAGGCTGAAGCCAACAAATGTCCTAGGTGGTGCCGGAGTGACAACCATTGCGAGCTCGACGACTGCGCTATCGCGTATTGCGTGAGCACGAGTAGCTTTCCCGAATTTGATAACATGACTCACCTGCATGGCAGGACACTGCGCTCAGCAGACGAAAAATTATCTCGTATATAAATATGTAACAATCTAGTAGCGAAACATCAAAACATCAAATAAATTTCATCATAGTACTACAGTTTCAAGGGGACAATGCTGTAGAGAGCGTAAAAACGTGACGGAATGGAAAGACGTATCAGAGATCAAGGAAATGAATAAGAGACTCAGAGGCTGGAAAAACATGCAACGAAAAAGAAAGATAGATGAAAAGTTGGACGATGCAGATTGACTATAGATATGATATGAGCGAACGAGCGATGATCATGGATACAATAATTACGCACCGTCGTCGTGAACGAGAGCAAAGAGACATCGAAAACATTTAACGAAAGAGAAATAGAAACGAGAAAGAACAGAACAGAAAAAAAAACAAAGACAACAAACACGAAAATCGAAACACCACACCCTATACCTCAAGCCCTCAAAAAGATCTCAACAGGAATCGGCTTCCTCCTCAACCCCGCACACCCACCCGACGAGCATGAGTTTTGGGCGTGGGCGTGGGCGTACTGTGTTGGGAGGACGTTGTGGGGAATAGGACTCTGAGAACGCATTTTAGGTTTCATTCTGGGTGTTGATCCGCGAAACAAGGGGGCGAAGACATAATCATACTCAATGGATAAAAATCAGAATTAAAAATAGATAAAAAAGACATAATCGGAAGCAGAGGAGGCGCTTACCTTGACCTCGATCTCGATTCCGATTTCGACCCATACGCCACACGCAACGGACTCATAATCGTGCAGCGAATGAAGATATCGCGGAGCAGCTCCATCGACTTGGGAGTTGGTGGGTTTCAAAGATCGGGAAGATCGGGGCACTTGATTCATAGCTCAAGCTTGAGGATGAGAAGGACGACTGGAACTGGCTGCTGGAAAAGCAATCGGGAGACGACCAGGGGCGTGAGAGTCAGTGCTTGTACGGGAGAGGTTGAGTGTTTTTGGGACTGCTTGTGAGATGGGGAAGGTGTCTTGAGCTGGTGCGAAGGAAAGCCCATGGAAATAGATGGATTTCTCCCCGTCGAACCACACTTGTTCGATTACGAGCCACGTCCGCGTGGTTTTAGTGCTTCGACAGTGGTACCTCGGGTGAGAGTTTGGGCGGGCAGGCGCTGGTGCAGAGAGGTGGATGTAGGCGAGTAATATGAATGTAGGCCTCTAAGGAATTGTATACACGGAATTCGAATAGGACTAGATAATGCATGCAAGTGCCGCGTCAACATGTGCTGCTTATGTCACGGCTATGGAGGCGCATGCGTCAGCTCTAATTCGAATTCATCGAGGATGATTAAGTTTCGAGCAATGTTGCATGATGCCGCCTACGTCACGGCCGCGGCAGGTGCAGCCATGTCAATTGCGTCAGCTGCTGACTCACCTCTAATTAACATCTACTTCGACTTAGTCACTCGTTGAATAAGCAATCCAGGAGACTGGTATATATAAACCCATGTCTTTCTTGTGAGTTCCAGTATCCGCCAACTTAGCTATATCTAACATCATGTCCAAGTATCCCACACGCAAAATTGGCACCGACGATGTCTCTGCCATCGGCTTTGGCGCCATGGGCTTAGGAGCGTTTTATGGTCAGACTGGTTCAGATGAGGAGCGCCTCAAGGTGAAGAGCGACCACTCTGCTGTATGACACATTAATTGATGATCGTGTCTTGTAGGTTTTGGATAAAGCATATGAGCTCGGCTGTACTTTCTGGGACACTGCCAATATCTATGGAGACAGCGAAGAGCTTATCGGCAAATGGTATGTCGTCCTGCGCTGCAACAGTAGTAGCCCCTCACAAACCAGGAGTGCAGGTTCAAGTTGAACCCCGAAAAGCGGAGCAAAGTCTTTCTTGCTACGAAATTTGGTATCATCATGAGTGGATCTGACGGTAGAGGGGTTGACGGATCCCCCAAAAATGTCCACGAGTCATTTGCAAAATCACAAAGGTTGCTTGGCGTCGATAAGGTCGACCTTTATTACTTGCATAGGTGCGCCACAGCGTGTTAAACAGGTTATGCGTAAACTTCATTATCATGCAGACCAGACCCCCAAATACCAATCGAAGTAAGTCTCTGTCTGTGGACTCCGAAGTTTTCTGAACCCAGTTAGGAAACTGTCAGTGCCATGGCAGAACTTGTCAAGTAAGCGAACAGTTTGTGGAACCTTGGCTCATGCTCATCGCTGGGAAGACAGGGGAAAGTGAAGTATCTCGGGCTGTCAGAATGCACTGCGGATACCTTGCGCCGCGCTCAAAAAGTGCACCCTATCGCTGCTGTCCAAGTGGAGTATTCGGCTTTCACGCTCGACATCGAGGACCCAAAGCTCAACATTCTAAACACCGCTCGCGAGCTTGGAATAAAAATCATTGCCTACTCGCCCCTTGGCCGTGGTTTGATCACGGGACAGTATGTAAGTACCGTGGACCGGTCAAACTCATTTGGACACTCACGGCATGAAAAGAAATCTCCAGATGACTTCGAACCTAATGATTTCAGGAGGATGGTTCCTAGGTATGTGTCACGTCAGTGCCTAATGGGACTCACTCAAACTGTACTTTGTTAGATACTCGAAGGAGAACTTCCCGAACATCTTGAAGCTGGCGGATAACCTGAAGAGAGTAGGCGAGCAATATAACGCAACCGCTGGACAAGTGGGGTTGGCATGGCTTCTTGCCCAAGGTGAGGATGTCATCCCCATTCCGGGTACAAAGAAAATCAAGGTCAGTAGCCACATCAGCGCGTATAATCTCGGCATTCACGATTTTGACTTGTACAGTATCTCGAGGAGAATCTCGCTGCTGTCAATGTGCCGTTGAGTCCTGAAACAGTCCAGGAAGTACGTAAGATTGCAGAGAAGGCTGATTGGGTAGTTGGGGATCGCTATCCTGCAGCGACTATGAAGACGCTGTATGCAGAGACACCACTTCCGAAGAGCACCTGAAGTGTGTCATGAATCCGAGCCACATGGATACGTTCTTGATGATTGTGACTGTACTTGTACGTACCTGAAGTAAAGCCAGATGTATGTTTCGGTCGATCAATGATAAATGGCAGTGCTGAAATGCTGGCTGCGACTACAACATGTTTGGAGATAACCCAGAGGGACATATTGGTACAGTCAACGAGATGGTGCTCGCCCCGACTGTGCAACTTTGTTTTCCGGAAGATGACGATGATGGATTTTCGTGGTATACTTTTGGGTTAGGTGAGTTGTCTGTTCTTGAGTGGCTGTCACATTATTGACTCTCAGCAGAACGGTGGACGCATCGTAATGTTGCGAAGGTGATGCTTCACGTGGAACGCGAATTGAAAGTTTAAGCCGGCAATCGCAGAAAGATAATCTGCCCTAGATCAAAAGAGAAGGAAGACAGCTGTTCTTTCTTATGCGGAGGGAGGGAGGACGACGCTGGCACACAACACCATCACTAGTACTGTGGGTAAGTGCACATCTGTCTTGAGCAAATGGTCACGGCGCTCGGCGCTCGCACGCGACCCGCATTGAACGTATTTGACGACTAAGGTTTCTTCAGACAGCGCCTGAGGAGCTGTCAGTGCGATTCAAACGAAAGATCCAACACGCACGATGACACCTACTACTCGATGTCATCGAGAACGTGTCGAATTTCGAAGGCGATGAGGAATTTAGACTTGGCTTGGCTCATCTTCACAACTTACACCAAGATGGAAAGCTTCTCCCAGTAGCTCTTGGCCAGGGTCTCGAACGCGGCATGATGTTGTAATGCATGTACTACACGCAGACATTACAACAATATATCACGTTAGTATCCTATACGCCGGGTCCTCCATACCACTGTCGACTTCGCATTTGTATTTTTGCACCTTTGTCTCAGGCTCCGGATATGCTCCATCGATGAGGTATTTGGTGACAGGGACGAGGTAGAAGGTGATGCACGTTCCTGTCATTGTGATGCAGGGTAAGGTCATCTCGTCAAGGGGGACGAGGCCCATGCGTTGTCGATTGCGGTTGTTGTGCTGAAACGCTGCGATTACCTCTGCAATCACCTGTGGTTCAGGACTTTGGTATTCGTCAGAGTCTTATCGTCTTCAACTATCTGGATTCTGGACCATCCTGATAAATCCAGCAGGCAGATATTTACTTGTGCAGATTTCCTCTCGCCACAGATCAACAGGAGGATATGATACCTGATGCGTATCGCTAGTCCCTCATTTGTGGTGAGAACAACACCGTTGATTTGAGTTCTTGTGTTGTGTTGGTGGCATCTTCCAAGAACCTTAGAAACCTGTAGGCCTGATCTCTCAAACGAAGAGAGGCTCGGACTAGGAACGAGGGAGATGGTCCCGAAGGAAGAAGAGTGAAAAAGGATGTTGAGATGGAGAACGAAAAGACAACGTGTGGGATGAATGATAGTACTTGTGTGTAAAATGAAACACATACGGAGAACGTGCTGTGATACTCCCACTCAGATGTATATCACTCGATCTTCATGTCGTCTGCATCTTGTCCAACAGTACCGGTGTCATTTGGGGACAAACAAAGTGCGAGGGAGTGGCAGTGACTGCGGAAAATCTTTGGAGGTAATGGTTTCGTGAAAATATCAGCCATCATGCAATATCTGTGTGGTATGTATGAAATGATGATGATCCCGGTCACGGATAAAATGAGTTCGGACGTGAAGCGCAATGATGGAACTGGGAGTTCTTCATCGATGTTGAGCTCGGGTCCCATTTAGTGTTGTTGGCAGAATGAAATATTTATGCCAAGGAAAGCGCAAGTTTGGCACTTGACTTTGGCACGCTAATTCAAGTAGTGTTCAGGTAGTGGGCGCCCTCGATGAGCTGTGACACCCGATGCCGTGTCAAATTTCAAATTGAGGCGAAGGAAGTCACTTGGCTTGGTTTACACCAAGACGACAACGTTCAAGAACACCCTCAGCGTCAATAAACACGTGTTCAGGATGGTTGCGGCTGCAGGCGCTCAACCAGTGCTGTGTACTACCAGTCCTTATCTCTCTGTGCGCTCAGACTCTTCCTCATTCCACTGGCTTTGATTTTGGATCTAAATACCTATAGCTCTTACTTCCTCATGTCAAAAGCATCCAGCACTAGCGGCGCCGAGGACCAGGGCGCCCATACAGACGAGCAGCCTGGCCCAGAACAGGATACCACAGGACTCCAAGAGGATTCAGAGTAAGTGACTGATTCCTGGCATCTGTCACCAGTATAACAGCAAGATAGGGAGAAGGGAAATGGTGAACCTTCAGCAGCGGAGTTACCGTCAGGGATGTATGTGGTTCTGCCTTGATGCTTCTGTATAACACCTCACCAGAACTCTAGCTCGAACATTGGGCCTTCCCAGCCATCAGAACCTCATGAACAGGAAAGTGCTTCTAAAGTCGCACTGAACGGCGATTTAGTTTCGTAAGTCCCATTCAATGGCGATTTTTAACAAGCTCATGAATTGTCTCAGCGGGCCGCAGAAGGACCAGCCAACTCTAAACGAATTGTGAGCAAACAATAAGCCGAGCGATTGCAGCTGATGACACCCTATGCGCAGAGCGGATACCATGAAGAAAATATTGGAAGTTCTCCAGGACTCGACAATTTCATCCAAGAGTGGCAAGGACAATCGGTCTCGTTTCTGGGGAGTGTACAAAAGAGTCGCGGAGGAACACGACGGCGAGTTCCTCGAGCGATACACTGGCGATATGGACATCGTTTTGGTCTTCGTAGGTTTCGCGTGCCTATCTTTGACTCGTTTAAGACTGATGCTTGATCAGTCCGGTCTTTTCTCAGCTGTCAGCACGTCTTTTATAGTGGCGATGGAGTCCAATCTCAGTCCCGACCCCAGCGACACCACGAATGCCCTTCTGAAGCAACTCGTGTACATCGGACTCGGCAACTTCACTGGAGCGGGCTCCACGCCCGCAGATCCAGCATCTATGTGGTCGCCGACCACGCCGACCCTATGGATTCAAACGATCGCATACGCAAGCTTGGCCATGAGCTTGCTCGCTGCATTTGGGGCCGTACTAGGCAAACAGTGGCTCGGGTACTATAAGTCGAATAGATATGGTCGTGGCTCGCAGGAGGAACGAGGAAAGCGCAGGCAAGAGAAGTTCGACGGCCTCGTCACATGGTATTTCGATGCCGTCGTGCAGTCCTTTCCGGTCTTGCTTCAGATCTCCCTTCTTCTTTTTGGGATCGCCCTCGGCGCCAATATGTGGTACGAGCAGCGCAGCATCGCTTGGGTGATCATCGCCACAACGGTCTTCGGATTTCTGTTCTATTCGCTGACAGTGATGGCATGTTTGATATCTCCCGCCTGCCCATTCCAGACGCCGATGTCGACGGTGTTGCGCATGTTGGGCATGCACAGTAAGATCATTTGGTGAATTCTGGTGGTCGTTTCCAGTCTGAACGAGTATTGCAGGAGTTTTACTCCTGATCTTCGAACCAGCCTTCAGGCATTTCCAGCAGCTCAAGACATCAGCACACGGTGAGCTATAGTTTATCACGTGTGCACAGGCTTTGACCATTTCTTGTCAGCTGTGCTGCAACGAATGCTTGATACCCTCAGACCGAGATGGACCCGATTGTCTGAAGCATTGAGAGGTGACATTCTTATCTACTCTTACACAGGACACCCAGTGCTCATTTCACTTCCCAGGCGCTGTGCGTGCTACTGGCAAATTTGCACGACGCTCTCTTAAGCTGTTATCCGTCGCGCTTCACAATGGGCTGCGTTCTTTGGTTCCGCGCTCTTCGACAAATGATGTAGACTCAGAGGCACAACCGCTCGACCAGGCTCTGGATGTTTTGGCGATGAATAAATGTACCCTTTCCCTCCACCTCCCAGACATACTCACCAGCAATCTCGAAGCACCTAGTATCAAGTGGCTGCTGGAAACATCCACGGATCCTGAAGTATTCATCGCGGCGGCCAGCCTTGTTCCGCTGGTCGAATGGCCCCTGGATCTTGACGTCTCAGACATGCTGCATCAGTTGTCTGATATTTTCACAAGTTGCGTCGGCTTTGATGGGCAAATTGTACCATCGTTGGATGGGAAGGCCTCAGCTTGTATAATGGCTATGAGTCATCTATATTGTGGCCGCGTTCTTCATGCCTATCCAGACCGCGGTGAACTTCATGGCCGCGGGAGAACAGACTTCGGCATGTTTAATGAGATGACCTGGTGGAACATTGGTGACGCCAATGACACGGTGCTTACCACGACTATGAATCTTTTTCTTCCGGAAGATGAAAATGGTGGATTTATGTGGTATTCGTTAGATGATTGTCCCGACCATGTCACAGAGTGGCTGTCACATTGTCTTCCTTACCACTTTGTCACTGGGCGAGTAAATCAAGGTATAGAAGCATTCGCCATAAAGGTGATATCAAAACGCCTATCCTCTCCATCCTCTCCGTCGAATCAAATCATAGCCAATTGCACTCTTCTCGCTTGCGTCATGGTCGGGGTTCAGTTTGACAAGAAGAACATAATTCGGATTGATAAAAGGTGCTCCTGACTCATTTGCTGCTTCTTTTGCTATTTTTAACAAAGAGATCTTGTAGTGCTGCTCTGCCTCAAGTCACGCAATCCCTTTTAGCGCGGTTTCAAAGCGTTCTCTGGGCATGGGATGGAGGCGATCTCGAGAAAGACAGCACAGGAGTCACACGCCGAGCATATCATCTCCTCAACATCATCTGTCGCATACTTGAGCTTGCTCAAAGTCACTATAATCCTTCATTCGACACCATGCGAAATCTGGACGTGTGCAAGAAGATCTATTCACGAGCGAAGTCACCCGATCTCTCGGTTTCATTGTCAGCTCTACCAAATGCACTGCGCTTCACGCTCACTGCTTCCCAAGTATCTCGGGACCCTGCCAGCTTGTGGACTGACTCGTATTCAACAGGCGATTCCCACTCACCAGAAGATTTCGACTGGCTGGTGGAATACCTCGACTACATCTATTCCGACGACAAAGAAGCGGCATTTGACATCCTTTTGCTCATGAGTCTCATGGAAGTACGCTGCAGCCCTGCTAAACAACATCAGTTCTTCGAGAGCCTCATCGCCTGCATGGGCAGTAACATGCCTGTCCATTTGCGTTATGCCGCTCTTCGTGCTGCTCGCATTGTCCGAGAAGAAATTGTCTCGATTGACACCATCGATGTAAATGTACGGGACATGGTTTTGACCAAGTTATCCCCCGCTATCTTGACTACGGTTTGTCCGCGACCAGGCACAACACTCGCCGACGATCCTCACCACTTCTTCCATGATGACCGCGACAAATGCTATCTCGAACTGATCTTTCCCCTCGCAAGGAATTCCAATTGGCACCCCCATTTGTTTGGGGATCACCATATTGATCGGTGCATCAGCATGGTCGGAGAGTACTGCAGATCATACTCGAGGCATGCCTTTTACCTATCTGGTATCCTCTTCCGAATCGCACCTGAACAATTGTCGGTCCCATCGCTCGATGCTATCACAGAGCAGCAGTGGTGGGACATGATAAGCAGCGCGTGGTTCTGTGCTCAATTTGTAATTGGCGACATATACTGTTTCGAGTCCCTTCCCGTCCTTGTGGAAGGCACGAAGAGGTATATGGGGGTTGCTTCGGAAGATGGTCTCGAGCGGCTTGTTAGATGTGTGGATGTTGTTCTCGATATACTTGAGGGGAGAGATTCAGAACAGGGAGAGGGAGAGAGTGTCACCGTTACTGTGAAAGAGTTCAGGGCTGTAGCCAGCGATATGCTTGAGAAGTTGGTCAACAGTAAAGGAGTTATTAGTTCCTAATTATCACATTGTTTGCATGTTGTACTAGAAATCAGAGGAAGGGATGCAGTGCGGAAGGGGATAGGTATCATAACAAAAGGGTGTTGTTGCCCTAGACCTTGCGGATGAAATGACAGCTTCGTTTCACGTTTCGTATTACTTTCGGTACCTTTGATTTCAAACCTTCAGTAACTACGATCTTGCTCGCTGGGCTTCTTGGGTGCTTCCTTGCTTATTGTCGTCACTGTTTTATTTGTATTTCTCTCCTACGGTAACTTGGCCAATTGATCATGAATCTGAATCTTTGAGTGGTGACAGGGTCGACTGAGTACTGCGCTTTTTGCGGGAGTCCGATGGTCATGGCGTACTAGGAACTTGCCAACATGAAGATTGCTCGGTAAGATAGAATGCGTCCTCTATGAACTTATAAAATGCCTGAAGTACGAGCAAAATCGACTGCTGACCATCGCAGCTGGTATCGAGGGATGCGTGATCGGACTCATTTGAATTTTGCGTCTGCACTGGCAGGAGTGCAGAAGTGCTCGACGTTTGGAAGCCTGCCAGTGTAGACGGGAGAGACATATGCCGCTTATCATGATGTGTCAATGGTGCGGAAACGGAGGATATAGTATGAGATTGGGTAGGGCCAGCATGGACTTGACCCAAATGTAAGGATGACGGATGTCCAGACGCCGGGGGTTTCAAAGTCACGGTGCTAGGAGCAAGATTGTGCGTTCCATAGAGCTCAAGTCCACAACTGCATCCGGCAAGACCCGGCGATGCACCTGCGAAAGAATCTTAAGGTATGAGTGTGTACTACTCTTGTGTGGCATGACAGCGACGAAAATTTGAGAACCAAACGCGCCGTAATTAGCGATCTATACTCAGATATTTTGTATGTAGCCTCGATGAACCCGAGTTTTTCGGCTGGAGACACAGGGCCTGCCGAATACATCTATTTTTCGGCGGACACTTCGAGCTCAACTGCTGACGGTATTACGCTTCTCCTATCTCGCATTCTCAAGACTCGCAAGTCGAATGCAGTATTGATCAAATCTGCATAATTGAACATATCATCAATGCGCAAAACGGAAATCGAGTCTTCTGTTCCCAACATCCTTGGTCGTAGTCAGATAGTATACATGTTCTTGTCATTTAACAAGTATTTAGCGCCAGAACCCTAGCTCTTTAGAAAGTCCACGATGAACTCACTTCTGTCGTCATCGCATCCCAAATCTTGGCTCGTTGTCGGTTGCGCCAGATGTAATATGCCTTCGAAGCTGGGTACAAAATAAAGATGTTGACGATGCAGATGATAATGAGGATCATGTTGCCGCGTTGGTCTGCGCGCGGGGATGAGTGTGACGATCATGTTGCCTGGGAAAGAAAAATAAGAGTGACATACATCTGGGAGCCTCGCTAGCTACGTAGATCTGTGCGGATATGATTCCGCTGGCTTGCACGAACCTAGTGGAAGGTGAGTATGTCTCCAGTTTGAAAATGGAGAATTCCACACATGTTGTATAACGACGCGTTGACTGTTCGACTTGCCACTGCCCCGGCGTTACGAGAGCACCACGCCACCTGCAACAATAGATGAATATTTCACTCGAGGATCGTTCTAAGTAGTACCTGGATTGCATGGGTATAACTGGTAACACGAGGACGTCAAGAATGGTCTTCAAGAATATTAGTGCGAACTTACGGATATGACAACAGACCAGTCACCACAGCCTGAACAGTTGAGTAAGCCGCGTATGATACGCTACGTAAAACGCGCTACTCACAAAAAATATCCAAGGATTAGGACTGCTGGGCAATGCATAGAGTGCAACAAGGAAAGGTAACGTCCAAACGTCCTCAATCATCGACACAATAGAACGCTCGTTGACGAGCTCTGAGACAAGCGTGATCAAAAACATGGTGACAATTCCGACAGCCTGATAGGGTATCGTAAGGAGATTGGTATCAAATGTATTGAATCTGGGTTCCTAGTATTGAGTGTGTCAAACGAAGGGATACTTGTGGTACCCACCCGATGTCCGTAAGTAGTAAAGTGAGATATGTCGAAGGGGGAGTGTTCGGGATGCCAAACATGAGGCCGCTACATTTCATGAATGCCTAGCTCTTACAAAGATCAGGGGAACGGCGTACAGGATGTAAATTGGCCAAAGGTCATAATCACACACTGCTGTCCACAGACGACGCAATGTAAGGCCCTCGCGGTTGTGCATGTCACCCTGAGGGGGTGAGTTAGTTACAGAATCTAACGAAACTGAGACACAATTACTTACCTTAGTGGGATCGTCCCGAAGTACCCGGTTGACGATAATGATTTCTTCTCTTTCCGTGAACCAACCGTTTGGCCGGAACCATGTTTTGGTCTGCGTGGGCGATGGAGGCATGTTGAAAAAACTGGAAAATCCTATAAGCAGAGTGATGAGTCCCCTGTGGGAGGGTCGAGTTCGTGCGTCTTATGCCATTGGAAAGAAATGGACGCACTCAATCATGAACAGCCACCTTCGATCAAGTCAGGTTTTTGTGAATTGAGCATCAAACTTCTACTCACCGCCATCCAGCAGCGCCAGCCACACCATCCATGTGAAGCGTGCCATAGGCTAAAAAACTAGCAACGATGCCAACGAAGTTCAAAGACATCCAGAACAGAGCAAGACGCATGGGTAGCTCCGTCTTCGTGTAAAAGTCTGTCCGAAACGTCAGTAGTATAAGATGAGGTGGAATGTAACTGACGTACAAGATAGATATAATATCAGGTCAGGGATATAGCTGTGGAATGTAAAAAAAGTGTACTCGAGCGCGGGCAGGAGTTGGACTTACCCGCCTTGCAAGGCGCTGAATTCACTAGTTAGTGAGAATAAGCTTTGGGACAGTAATTACATGATATTACCCAAGAAGCGCCTGGCAGATCAGGAACGAGGTCCTACCGGTCAGCCAGAATTGTGACAGAGACACGAAACCTGTGAGCTATCGATGAGAACTGTTTTGATAAAGTTGTTCTGTTGCATACTCCAGAGGCAGATTTGCGTTGGTATCCAGCGGTCGGGGCCAACCTTCAATACGATCATAAGCCACATGAAACAATATACAGTAAATACACGTACTCGCTTCGAGACAAGTTGTGAAGGTAGCTCTGCGCATAAGAATGCCAACAAGAACACGGTATTTCCGAGGTTGAAGTCTGGATGACTAGAAGTCAGAATGTTATTCAAATGGCAATCGAAGGAACTTGCCGTCTGTAGTCAATCCAAGATCCTGCAAAAAACTGTCCGAGTTTGCCTGGCTGATATTGCTCCTGTCCAAGTTCAAGGCAGAAAATCCTATAGTTGCCATAAGCATAATCTTCCAATCCAACTTGCGGACCAGGGCCTTCCTCCCATGTAATATGAGCAACCTCACTTTAAATCACGATAAGTATAAAAACTGACCCTTTCCTCCCTGTACGTCCAACGAGCGGTTGGATCGAATCTGTGGAGATTCTCGTATTCCTTCTTGGGCCAATAGTGTGGCGCAAGGTCAGGATCATCAAAAACAGAACGTCTGGTCGCAATTGCATCAGGGTCAGGGGCGACCCTCTGCCTTCGACGAAAGATGGCCGTTGTCCACGACGACTGTTCCTCCACCTCATCCACTAGGTCATCAGTGGGTAAAGAAGAACTTCTTTTATCTATTGAAGACAGTAAAGAGACAGGCAGACTAAAGTCGTCCGTCGCCGGGATCTGCTGCTCTGGGGTAGCACTCACAGAAGTCGTCATCGAAAGGACCGAGTGTGGAGGAAGAAAGATTCCCGTATAAAAGCACTTAAATAGGACAAGCACGGCCGCCCCACCATCTATCCCCACTGGCATGTAACGCGGAATTGTGTGGGTGATATCACATTCCTGATCAATGGCGTAACGTCCCGTTCTAACAATAGGCAGAACTATGCGATTGACCTGCAAATTTTGTTATTTGTCATAACATTTGGACGGAAATGCAGCGCGAAACTAACGACTGGATCCTGAAGTGTTCGCCCAAGTTAGTACTCGCAGAAACAGCATGTTCATCCTAATGTACTTAATGATCGGCTTGTCGGCTATACAGTTTATGGATTGGCGATTTGAGCATATTATACGCCCCACGTCCCAAAATGGCCGTCAAAAACCAGGGACACACCAACAGGGATGTGACTAAAGATGTTATCATGCATATGGTGCGCTCCAGAAGATGGCGGAGGTGGGGAAAAACAACTTTGTGGAAGCCAGACATCATGCATCACGGGGCAGCGTATGATGAATTGCGATATCTGGCGCAAGTTCTTTTATCTCACGTGATTACACAGCATGATGTTCATATCGGGTGACGTTTCATGACTGTTCGAATACAGCACACTTTTTCATAGTGTATACGTTTCAGTAGTTTTCCTTGATTTGATTTGATAACATGACTCATTTGCATGGCAGGACCAATATTTTCACTGCGCCTGCTAGACGAATAATTCTCTCTCATATATACATACAAGCCGTCACCTCCGGTCGTTGCTTTCTGAGTCCATCCATTACAAAAGCAAGGGCTTGTACACGATATTGGCACAATCTTTTCCCCCGTTCGTTGACACAAATAAACAGACTGTATCTCGTCGATTCTTCACGCGTGACAGCGCAGTATACAGTCGACCAAACGCAAAAGGATCAGTTCTGGGATCCGGAACTGTTTTTGACAGAGTCAGTTCTTGGCATCCATTGAACGTAGTTGCATAAGCAAGTCTCAAGGAAAATTGCTTGTGATTCACCATGCAGCCCGGGCGATAGGGATTGAATGTAAAAGTCGTCCGTGGAATGCAGTGGCTTTCGAAGTTGTTTAGTAGCTGGACTTCAACGAATCGACGACGGAGGGTTATTATGTGTATTCTCTACCACGTCAAAAATAAGTGTAAATCATTGAAATGAACGACCCACATTCACCGGTATCTCAGGATTCTTCGCCTGTGGGCCTCGCATGTACTTATCAGAGAGTTCTTCGGAAGTACTGGCGAGCTGCCGCTGGATTTGAGAAAACCTCTCTGCTAAGACCTTGGTTCCTTTAACTGGATAACGAGGAAACGGATTGTCCAGAAGTACATCGTTTTTTTTGTTGCTTTCGTGAAGGCGTTTCAAATGATTCTTCTGCACTACTGACAGCTGTTTTTTGGGACCATTGACTGGGGTAAGCAGTCTCCCCATATCAACGGTGCTAATTTGTTGTTCTAGAACCGAGAACGTTAGAATGATGCGCGAGAACGAGAAGGCAAAGACATAATCGGAAGCGGAGGAGGCGTCCGCCTTGACCCCGATTTCGATTTCAAGTGCCACATGCAACGGACTCAGAATCGTGCGTGAAGGGTCGATCGATCAGCAACAGGTGAGAATATCGTGCATATTTGAACGTCCTATTTTCCTATATAGGCAAGTTAAGGATGATCGACTGACCCTCGGAACAGCTGGGACACTCACAACGTGTAAGTCACTGTTATCCCAAACCCTTGAGACTTACCGCAATATTCCCTGCATAAGAACAGATATTCAAATTAGGGGTGTGCACTCCATGGGGCTCAAGTCCACAACTGCGTTCGGTAAGACTCAACGCAACTGCGAAAAAAATGTTAATATATAAGTATATAGTACTCCCGTGTGGCATGACAGCGACACAAATTTGAGAGCTAAACACACCATTCTTTCATAATGGGAATATACGCAAAACAAGGCAGCAATAGGCTAAATATTGTGACAACCATTTCTTGAGAAGCGGAAACGGTAGGTAAAGTAATCAGTTGAACTGATACAAGATCACCATCGATACAGAGGTTGCAGTCGAACGATATTGTTAATGCAACTTGGTCTGTTTGTGAGTCACACAATCTCTATGGGATATATCAGAAACGAAGAATATATTCAGATATCATCATCCTTTCGCCAGGACCCTGGAAATCATGAATGATTACTCATGTGATGCGGCAGATATACCTACGAATTCGCGGCACCACAATTATCGGCATCGTTTCGACGACGAAATAGTGGTAGTCTATCCAAGAAACGACGCTTGGATGAGGATGAGGGAGGTATCGGGCTAGGAAGGACTTCAGGAGACTCCTCTGGTTGGTCCGAGTCCTTTGGATGATAATTAGGCGTCTGAAACGTAAACTACACAGCCCACATATTGGCACTTACTTCAGGAGTATTGTTAATCTCGTTGCTGGGCCAATTCTCAGTAAACGCTGAGGGAACATTCAGATCGGATGGAACCTATCACAGTCAAATCAGAGATATCGCGCTATGGTACGATATACGTACTCCATTCTGGAGCGCCAACGGGGGAAGGAAGCCAGCGACCTGCAGCTGGTTATGAGTATTGAAAGCATAAGCAATATGTTTCCCTACCTCCTGTATCAAAAGTTCGTTAAGGACCTGAAATAATTGCCCGCATCAGCTACTTCGAACATTAAGCGCACAGTGCAAGCGGTTCTTACATCTTCATCTGAGGGTGCCAGCGGCAATTCCAGAGCTGGTTCACAGCTACCCGTGATACCAGCTTCTGGTTTAGTGTATGGCTCTATATCCCACAAATACACCTTGGTATCTTTCCCGCCACATGCGACGCGCTTACGGTCAGGGGAGAATGTGACGCAATAGAGTTCGTCGGCATGCTCGAAGGGCGGGCTGACTGCTTCATAAGTGCGCACGCTCCACAGGCGAACAGTACAATCAGAGGATGCGCTCGCAATGAAGCGCCCATCAAAAGATATTGCGATGGCGTGAACCGTGTTGGTGTGTCCCTGAAGGAGAGCGACTTGGGCTCCGGTCCCTGACGACCAAACCCGGATCGTTCCATCTCGAGAACCTGAGAACATTTGTTCTCCGTTTCTCGACCAACAGACACTCGTCACCGCATTAAGAGGACCTCCAACATCCAGGGTAAATCTCCCCAAGCCACTTCCTTCAGGCAATCGTATTACGTTTGTCTCTTTGGGGTGGGTTGGAGTAGGCCGTCCTCGCGGTGGGACAGCAGTTCGCCGTGGTTGGTCTTCGGTATTTCTCATTCGTCTTGATCTTCTGAACCTTGGTCGTTCCATCGTGATTGTTGGGGTCTCTTGGAAGCCAACTGGTAATCGACCGCCCGTCTATAAGACAGTCATCCGACCAGCACGGGCTGCATATTCGATACCTAGTTTGGCGTACCCCTCCCACGTTCCCAACATGCACAGTACGCATTGTGGGTGTAGATACGCACTGCATGTTTGCACAGCCTACACGTGTTGAGCATCGCGCATCGTGGCTACCTTGCATCCTATGGACAAGGTCACTTGTGTTAGTGTCTTTGGACCGCTTTCGGAACGAAGTAAGCGGTGAATTTGCTATAACTTGCTGCAAAATTTGGCTTCCCGGGAAGAACCGTCGGATCACGTGGGGACAACATTTCTTCAGAAAAGTTGATTCACAGCATCATCATTCTTCTGACATCTGACACTTTTCCTGCATATATAGTCGTGTTTACAACTGCTACTCCGACTTCTCCATCGCCAGGCATGATAAATGAGGTGGAAACGGATCTTTGCACCCGATTCAAGAAGGCTTTACTCATGGGCATGCTTTGTCCTTTCTGAACGTCCTCCCTTGGCACTTGCCAATCATTTCAAGATGGTCTGTTGATTGCGACTTTGTGCTGATTGTGCACCATAACTATCTAGGTATTAAAGCCCTTGTAGAGGATTCTTTGACTGCATCGATACTTTCAATTCGTCGTTAGGCGCAACATCTTAATTAATCATGTTCCAACCACCTTCGAAGAAGACGAAGACCATTTAGTGTGCACAAACCGGTTTCGAGATTCTGGCGGTGGAAACAGAGGAAGACGGAATCCTGCGCAGCCCAAGGTAGTGGCGAGGCATAGGGAAAGATTCAGCGTACATCTGACTTGAGTTCTCCTGCACGAAAATGGCGCACAAACACCACGAACGTCTCCATAGAGAAGTGAGAACTTTTTCGATCCTGTCATCCCCCAGTGAGCATAGTATCGAGACACTGTTTGTTTTCTCACCTTATAATAGATGGCATGCAGCATGCATTACACAAACGCCATCACTGCAGTGTTCGCTGCTAAGGTTGCCGTCCGCGGATTTTACGTCGACGAATCGGCGTACACTCATCTCAACTACGTGGAACAATCTTGACAGAGATTCGGATGATACAGGAGGGATAGGTCGTGATTGTTGTCGACTTGTTTGACGAAGAAGAGAAGTCTAATCTACTCTTCTCTTGGTACAGATTTGAAACTGAAGTGGTTTGCTAACCCTTATGTTTGTATTGCTCCCGGACCTCGGGTACTCCCACGGAGGATCTTCGTTGTAGGAATGGTTTCGAGCTATGTCGGTGTTGTTTCGCGTTTTGAACGTGAAACACGCCACTGTCGCAGGTTCTTCTTCTCGATCTCCGACAAAGGTGTGGGATCGCGTTGCAGGCAGCTGTATCTTCTTCGTCCCATACCTCTTCGTGCCTTCCGATCCAATACCACGACTACTAGACAGTTTCCTGGTTCTTCCATCTCGGAACACCTCATGGATGTCTAGTTATTTCCCCGTCGCTTCCATCTGTTGTGTTCCTGGAGTTGCCTCGTCTGGTGAAACCATCGGTTAGCGGGGACTGATCTCTCCGAATCATATCTGGTCAAACGGCTCCGACTGCCGCACAGTAGCACGGGAAGCGGGAGTAATATTCAGATACCAGATGACGTGGTATTGTCCAAGATGCGTCTGGTGGAAAATGAAGAAGGGGAAGCAGAAGCAGAAGCAAATCTTATCTTCCCCTGGGTCTTCCCCGTGTAGGCATCGTTGTGCCTCCCTCTTGCATTCATTCTAGCTGGTGAACATACATTTGTCATTCACTAATATTGAAACCTTGGTTGCAGGATTCGTGGTTTACCTCAGGGTATGAAGGGCGAGCCTACAATATGATATCAATCCATTTACACCCGGTACTAATGTCTTAACTTCTCAACTTCTCATAGCCATTCAATTAAATCTGATTGTTTTTGCATCGTAGAGTCCACATCAGGTGAGCTGATTCTGATATCAGGATAATCAAATCTTACCCTCGTATCTTTATCTCTGTAGTTTTTCACGTTTATGCAGTGTGCGAGCCTATACCCCAGAAGTGTCCCGTGTCTTATCCTGTTCGCGTTTGGGCGATAGATCTCTGATAACTTCCGTATTATGGGAGTCTGATAGCTGGTGAGTCCTCACATTCAATAAGGGTGTGTTTCATTGACTTGATTCCTTCACTATAGTCCACAGTTGCCTCCATGTTCGTAGTTAGGTATGTATTAATTAAACATCGAAAAGTCACACGCGGGATGAACTTAAGAGCTCAGCCCTTATCAATTATTCAATGCGCAAACCAACTATTACACTAAATATGACGCGTCGTTTCTGCTCGACACTTCATGTCGACGAACTCTTTCTGAGAAGGAAACATCGTTCTATAACATAGTGCTTCATTTGTTTTACTGAATGGATCGTTCAACACTTTCCCCATAGGCCTCCTAGGTGGAGGTATCGCGCCAAAAGCAGCAATACAACAGCACACATAATGATGCCACCTGGACCAGATCAGCGCACACAGAGGGACTGCACATTTGACAAACCTGCCTGCATAGTAACCGGCTTCAAAAAACCCTCCTGACGCAGAGCTGATAGCACCTGATATTGGAGGACCTGAGATAGCCCCAAAGGCAGCAAGGGACATGAACATTCCCACTCGACGACCCGCATCTTCAATCTTTCCCATTGCTACGGCGGCTACAGCGAAAAGAGATACGTATCCTCCTGTGGAGAATCTGGATAGGGTGAGTTGGCAGCTAGTTATGAACAAGTATCGCGCATACCCATAGATAGAGGATATGACAATGAGCTGTATTTCATTTTTAGCAAATGGCCAGGCAAATGTCATAATTCCCGCTACAGCAGTGAAAGCTGCCATGGTGTTGAGTGCACCTGTCAAAATTTAACTTGTGTTCCATTAGTCTATAGTGTTGAGGCATACCAACTTTGTCTCCTAATAGGCCGGCCGACACACGTCCAAACGTAGATGATGCATTGGCGATCGCGAGAATATCGAATGAAAATTTCTTAGGGATGCCAATTGCGACGGCGCTCACCGACATATATGTGAGTGCTGTCGAAACCAAGTCAGAACATCAGGAAGCCATAGTGATAATCGTTACGAGCACACCTGTATAAAGTCCTAGAAATGCCATTATCCCCGAAATGCAAAAGATAGAATATGCTGCGTTGCGGAACACTTTAAGATTAAATAATCCCCCACGAACATTGACGGGAGGAAGCCGTCGCTTTAGAAACTTGAGAAAAATGTGTCAGTGAATCAGGCATTCGCAAGTACTGACGGCATGCTATGTTGCCCATCCCCAATGTAGCTATCAGAATAAATCCAAATACACGGACAGTCCATTCAAATCTGAAATTGTATAAGTGAACATGAATTGTCTATGATCGTCGAACGAACCCGATTAATGGAATCAAACTTTGTGCTACTACAGGGAACACGGTGCTTCTGCATGAAGCCCCGATAGCTGTGAGCGACAAAGCAAGGCCACGTTTCTTGTAGAACCAATGCGAGACGGCAACAAGTGCGGGGCCAACTATAATACCGCAACACACTCCAATACTGAGACCCTGTATGAGAAAGAAATGCAGGTATTGTGTGCATTCCGCGATTAGGAAGGTGCACACAACAAAAACGCAGCTAGCGGCAAAGCACGGTATCTTGAAGTATCCTAGGTCAAACAGTCGTCCCGTCACAAGCGCTGGAAGGTACACGAGTGCGTACTAGCAAGACACATGAGCTACGTATGTTTACTGGAATGAGAAATAGATATACCTGCACAGAACCAATCCATGCTCTGAAGAATACAGATTGTAGACAAGTCAGTTACAATGTGGCATAGAACAAACACAGCACCTTACATGACCGAAGGAGAAGTGTGACGTAGTAAATTTTCCTCGTAATACGCTTGGAAGACCTGCAAGTTGTGTGAGATCTGGGAATACATCAAGGTGGCAAACATCACTGACACCCCATGAATTGGATAAACCAAACCTGGTGGAACCTCTTAAGCTTAACTGTGGGGAAGAAGCTGAGAAAGCTCACGTAGAAAACAACATCAAATTAGCACTGTAATCCGTCGGCATCAATGACTATTTCAAAGATTGAATATGTAGCACTCACGCAACAACTACCAGCCACGCAGTCAATCCTCCATCTGGTGCTTCACCAGGATGTATTACAAGCTTCTCAGAAGCAGGCTCATTCTGTATTTCCTGGTTGTCTGGAGGGGCTGCCCCTGTCTTACGCACATCATAAGACAAGGATTCGGATGCGAACTCGGTGCCCTTCGAAGCGTCTGCACTTAGGGACTTCTCGGACATAGCGTACCCTGCCAATACAGAGAAAAGCGCAGAATCAACAAAGAGTAAAGGGGGGACGGAGCAACTGCTGGTATCAATGGTATGTTCAACTTATCCTGCTGACATTGCTTCCCAAAGTTAATTTCAAAAGTCCGCTGAGGGCCAGTACCACCCATACTGGTCGAGACCAAAGCTGTAACGATCTAAAAGATCATGATATTATGACAGTGCACAAAGTACAAATATGCGGACCAAAAATAGCGTTGACCGCAATGGGAGTCGGGACTACTTATCAGACCAATGGGCATTTGAAGTCGTGTACCTAAGACTGCGGAACCAAGAATGATTTGGATCCTGTAAATGAAACTGCTTCATACTCGGGCTGTTAATGATCACGGTAGTGGTGGTCAGTGGGTAGAAAGTCTGGGACCCCGGGTTTTCGGGTATTTCCATTGTAAAACCCTCCAGGTGTTGAAATCGGCAAGACCTAATCAGTGGTACTCCTGGTTTTCAACTGGATCTGAGATATAACTTACTTTTTAACACTTGGGAACATGAATTTCTTGATATTCGAGCCGCACCGATATTGAGCAGATGAGTTGTACGTTCTCGCCGGTGCACGCCAGTATCGTCTCAACGTCTATGCATGTAATAAATTCAAGGCACGATACGGACTTAAGGTTAATCAGGTAGGTGTAACCTTTGAAATGAGGACGTGCATTATATATTGTTCCTTGAACGATGAGCAACGACGGTCAGAGATGTTCAGAGTTTCATCCTAGTATGAGTAGCAAGTCCCTTTCGCATTCTTTCGTGTCATCTGACAGCCGTCGTGCTGACTTCCAGCTGCAAATCGCTCCGATAAGAATATGTTTACAGAACATTCGAGAACACTTAGCTCGGACCGGAAGATGGCCTTAATGATGTCTTCCGGTTTGGTCCTTAACACGTCTGTGACAAATTCCGCGGATAGCAAACACGATGCCGGACGATTACACGCATACTTGAGACATGAACACAGGAACAAATCAATTGGGAGTGCTGCAAGCGGGCAATAAATCTCCGGTAAAGATGTATCCTTTGCACCAACAGGAATGTGTCTGGAAAGTTCGGAGGAAGTTGAAAATAAATATGTAGCGAAGCATGTTTATTAAGAGCTGAATCAACCCAAGCTGGTCCGCCCAGCAATGACTGTTAATGCTGCAGTCATAATGATGAGGGAGATGGCATTGGCAGCGGCATAGACGAGGGCTGTGCATGGACGCAAGGCTTGCGGCTCTAAATAGAGATATTCGCACACATTCCATGTACACAGACCCAAACATGGGGGACAAGTTTACAATTCTTTGTACATGAGAATCACATCGCTGGGCACGAGTACCAAAAGAAACAATTTGGAGTAGCAGGCGGCTGAGTCAGCCCACACTTGATTTGTTTGACAACAGCTTCTGATCCAAACAACGCCTCGGACTCATTTGAAATTTCCTTCTCAGTCGTTTCTTGTCCAAGTACACGCTGAGAGGACAAGTTTGCTTATGCCTTCCCCGTTCAAACTAGGCAAGGACGAACTTTGCTTTGAATTAGGTACGGCAGGCAAGGGAGTCTTATTCAAAGCATGCAGGCTGGTTTGAAATCCGCTGAAACCTCGATCGTGAGCAAGAGGCTGGCATGCTAACTTAATAATGTCAGCCTTCCAGGTATAAAACCTTCACCCGAGGGTTGAAACGCTAGTGTTCATCTTTCTTGCTCACTCCCATCGTCCGCATATCCGCATATCCAGACGATTTTACTTGCATCTATCTATCAATATGTCTTCCGACAACTGTAACGCTCGACTATCTTTGTGCTCCCCTTCCTGCTCTTCCGCGATCTCCACGCTCACCTTCGTCCTTGATGTCATCAAGGCTGTGGCCTTGGTCTTCTTCTATGTTGTTGTTATCATGGCTGGACTGGCCTTCGATGTCTACCGCTGTCAGCTCGACCCTTCGACGGTCCAGTATCCTGTTCTATCTATCCATTCACAGAGGCCCCAGGAAGCGGAGAAAGTAGTCTGCCCCTCGAATGCTGCTTCTTCATCGTCCACATGTACTTCAGCTTCATCAGGCTTCCCTTCGTCCTCATCGTCCCCGGCCATTCTGGAATCATCTCTGTACAACCCTCGTCTGGTACCTGAGCCTCGGCTTCGCTGGAGCATTAGCTGTTCCGATATTAGCCCGCAGTTGCACAAGGCTCCGATAGGCCCTGGTCACCACGTCCACGCTCTGTTCTCCGATGCGTGGGCCGAGAACACCGTTCTCCTGAAGCAGCTCCTACGTGTGCAGGATGCTCTCGATGCCGCAAATACCGATATCGATAAGCTCATGCTGGAGAACTTAACCATGAGCACCCAGATGGACCGTTTTACGCGCGATCTGGAGATCGAACAGATTCGTCGCGATGAGGCTGAATCGATGTCCCGGGATGCCACGGCCAAGATGAGCTCCCAAAGGTCTACCCTCTCCTTATTGCAATCTGCCAACACTGCACTCCGCTTCGAGATCGCAAACCTTAAGGCCGAGCGCGACGAAGTCGTAGCCGAGAAAAAGTCATCTGACTTGCAGCAAGAACACGATGATGAAGTACAGGCGCTGCAAGGAGCGCTCGTTCGGACGAAGAGGGAGCTCGAAGGAGCCAAGAGAGAGCTCAGGAAGTCGAAGAGAGCAGCTGCAGGTGGGACGTTTTCTCTATGTTCTTCGCTATCTTCTGATCCTCGCGAACAGGAATCCCTGAATTGAAAATAATATCTCCTGACGGGAAAGTTATCCCCCACATTATTACCTCGAGCAGTACGTCGCCCCTTCCGCCCCAACTATCCTTGCTGATGCTCCCCTAGGCACTGACTCCTTGAGCGAAGATCGAAATATCGCGATGAGGGAACGCCTTACGCTCGCGTACACAGAGGTTGTCGCTCTTAGGGACCAGTGCGAAGCTTTGCGTCATCATGCAGACGAAAATGCAGAGTTGCAGGAGGATGTCAAGCAGCTTCTCGCACAGCGCTCGGGTCTCTGGGATCAAGTTGAAGCGGCCAACAGTGCCTGCCGCAAGCTAGAGGAGGAGAACAAGAAATACTTCCGCCAGTTTGTGGAGATCAGAGCTGAGCTAACCAAGGTAGAGAAGAGAACTGGTCAGTCGTTTGCTTCTTTGCTGTTGTTGGCGCTAAAACTCTGTTCGTCAAGGAATCGCAATTTCAGTCGAAGAAGAGGAGGAAGAGCCCGAAGTAGCAGCCCGAGCTGTTATCGAAGTTCCACCGGCTGATCAAGGTTGTCGTTCGGCATTTGATGACGACTCTGACGACGAGCCCATTACTTCCTCGGTTTCATGTTATTCGATGGCATCCACAGATGACTTTGACAGTGAGATTTTGTTGACTTAAGGCGTTTTTAGTGGCTAATTGAAGTTTTGATAGTATCCCTGCCCTCTGAGGTTGATACACCTCATACATCAGTCCCGTCCTCCCCATGTTCTTCACTCTCCGCACCCCCTTCTCCCTCTTTCACGATGCCTTCTTGGGTTCCCTGTTTTGACTCGGAATGCGCGGATTTTGCATTCAACATCGTTCCGGGCTCACCCCTCGCGGATGCGATTTCCGCGTATGCCAGTATCCGCCAGTCTATTGTTGTCAGTCATCGTCCGTTTGTTACCCGTCGTAGTCTCGGTATTCCCATCGTTCGTCCTTCTTGGCCTTCCGCTAGCTCCGTTGTTTCCCCTTTCAACGAAGCATCCCCCAAGCGGAAGTTGGCTCTGGATCCGGACGATGCGACGCCCAAGACTCGTCGGAAGCACGAAGAATGTTGATGTATCAAGTTTGCAGTGCGTCTCGTATGCAGAGTTCTTTCTTTCCCCGATATTTTCTCTCCCAAATATTTTATTTTCCCTTCTTCCTTTCTTTCCTGTCTTTCTACGTTCTATCATTCCTACCATTCCTTTCATTTTGCAGTGAGTTGCAGGTTTGTGTTTTAGTTAACAGGCTGTTCCTTTGGTTTGCGGTGGTCCTGGTTCCGATTGCATCGTTCGGCTGGGATGCTTTCCCTCAGGGATCCTGATGAGGTGAAGTACTTTCTTGGGTTCCATTGCTGCTTATATCTGTCTTCCACGTTTGCCCTTTAAAGTGGCACGGGAAACTCTATAGGCGGTTATGTTTCTCTTGGACTTGCGGATCTCTCGGACTGGACTCCTCTAGTGGTAGTATTTAGGCAGATCCTGTACTCGGCTTCCTCGGTGCTGTATACATTGAAATTGTCATGAATTATAATTCAGCCCCGCGACATATGAGCCGGGCGAGCCTGCGATACCAGACCTTGAGAATGACCAGTTAAGTTGCAAACGGTTCACATTCAAGCGATCCGCACTAGCGCAGATTGGTTATCAGTTATGTATTTACGCCAGCGCATTGATGGGAATCCGACAACCGATATCATCGCATAACAGTAGACAACATGCGGCAGTCACGAGGCGCGGGTGACGCCACAATGATCTCCGTCTCCATAATGTAATATTCATTCAACCACAGTCAAGCTGGTCCAGCCTATCCACTGATAGTAAACGATAATGAACTGTGTCCAAAGGCAAGCGCTCTCGTGCATATGGACAATGGCATTTGTCACGTGATGAAACGCGGACGCGTTTGTTTGTTTGTGTTATGTGTGGATGGTTGAAATTTAAAATGGCCATTTCTGGAATAGTTCAAGTAGTCCTCTCATCTTCCGTTCGCTCTTCGTTTTACATTTCATCCACCTAGCTACTGCACGCCCAGATAGAGTACCTTCTGCGTCAATTAGATAGCTAATGTCTTCCAACTTACCAGTAAGTCTCGTACTTTATCGATTTTTGGTTGTCATCGTCGATGGGCTTGTCGCTGATCGATGTTATGTTCCAGACTCGCCGTGTAACGCGGGTTACCCGTACAGCGGTCCAGAAGGACAGCGAGAATGCCAATGCCCGCCCGTCTCGTATTATCTCCCGTGTGAAACCCCCATCCACGTCTGCCGTTCCTGCTCCCACCGCCACACTCCAATCCAGGGCCTTAGGCGCTACTGCGGCTTCTCGTGCAAAAGTCGGGGCCAACGATGAGAACAAGGTCGATCTTGCTCTACAGGGCAAGCGTAAGCGCGAGGCGCTTGGCGAAGTTACCACTAAGAACATCAACAAGAATAAGGCCGCTGCCACAGCTGCTAAGGACGGAAAAGGCAAAGGCAAAGAAGTAGCCCCACCGACCAAGGAAACGTTTGATGGCGTAGTGATTAAGGCGAAGCCCACCATCCCCTTGAGACAGATCGCCGTCCCCACTCGTCGCACTACACGGTCTGCGATTGCTCCAGAGTTAAAACCGTTAAAAGATGTCAAGGAAGAACCCTTGGCCAATGATGAAGACGCGATGGCTGTGGATGATCACCCGCCGGCTCCTGAACCCTCGCGGCGCGTTTCAACCCGCAGGTCGGGGGCGAACACCCAGCAGGTGATCACCCAGGAGGTACAACGTATTCAGACTACTCGACGAACTTCTTCGCATCTCGTCATAAAGGCTGAGACACAGGAGGAAGTTCAAGACCATCGTGTGTTTAAGAAGAGGCGAACGTCTTCTGATGCTCCCGAGACCGACATAGACGAGCAAGCGCAACACGAGGCAGAAGTGGCGGCTGTTCTTGATGTCGATGTGGCACCAGAAGCTGACCCCGATGGTGACGAGTGGGACGACCTCGATGCCGAGGATTCCGATGATCCATTGATGGTCAGCGAATATGTTGTCGAGATCTTCAAGTACATGAAGCTGACCGAGGTATGAGTCTCTGAATATTTTTATCGCCCTATTGTAATCAATGAGCCACCTTCAGCTTGTGACCCTTCCCAATCCTGACTATATGGCGTCGCAAAAAGAGCTGGCCTGGTCGATGCGTGGAATCCTTCTCGATTGGCTGGTGCAAGTACATGCACGATTCCGATTGCTTCCTGAGACTCTGTTCCTCTGCGTGAACATCATCGATAGGTTCTTGTCGGCACGCGTCGTCTCCCTTGCAAAACTTCAGCTCGTGGGCATTACGTGTCTCTTCGTTGCTTCCAAGGTCGAAGAGATTGTCGCACCGTCCGTCTCGCACTTCCTTCACTGTGCGGATTCATCCTACACCGAATCCGAGATCCTTCTCGCAGAGCGGTACGTCCTGAAGACGATCGACTGGAATTTGAGCTATCCGAATCCAATGCACTTCCTACGCCGTATAAGCAAAGCGGATGATTACGATGTCAAATCGAGGACGATGGGGAAATATTTATTGGAAGTGGGTACACTGGAGTGGCGGTTGCTGGCTACGCCACCTTCCCTGGTTGCCGCTGCGGCGACCTGGTTGGGACGCCTCATTCTCGGCAATGACAAATGGGTAAGTGGTATGTGTGCCACATTTCGATCTTGCTGACAACATCTCCGAATCTAGACTCCTAATCATGCCCATTACTCATCGTATGCAGAAAGCTCCATAATTCCGACTGCCAACCTGATGCTTAACTATATTCTTAAACCAATCCGTCATGAATCATTTTACAAGAAATACGCTGGCAAGCGCTTCATGAAGGTGCGTCTTAATGAGTTGTGCATGCACAGTAGGTAACCTAGCCATCATGCAGGTGAGCATACTCGTACGAGAGTGGGCTCTAGAGCGGTGGGAAGAGGGCGAGCAGGTGTCTCTTTTAGCGGAGTTACCAGCCATTCGTGCAAGGAATCGAGCAGAAAGGGAGCGGCTAGCAGCAGCAGGTTTGGACGGTGACGAGGATGAAAAATCATAAGGCCAGCGACGCGCATGGCCTCTACCCCCTTCGTTCAATTTCCATCATCACGGCTATCACTCACCCAAAACGCATATCCATTTTACGGACACCCACACTATCTATCCCCCGCCTGCATCATATCCATCACGAGCATCATGATCATTGTTAATTTTGTGCAACACAACCATCACACCATTCCACAACGCCAAATTCGTTTTTTCTCTTTGATTTTGTTCTTTATGAATTGATCCTATGATTATCGAATACGTTTTTCCCTCCACACCCGCCTGTTTATGCGCCACATCTATGCCTCCTGCTCTGCGCTCGATTTGTCGCTGTCACGCTGCTGTCTCAGTGCTCTACGCATCTCGCTCGCTGTCTGCCGTACTCGATTTGTCGATTCGTGCAAATGCACCAGTACCCGTCCGGATACCCCCTTCATCGTTGCTTGCTCTGTTTTTGCTTGCATCACGCTGTTTTACTGGTCACTGCTCTGTTCATTTCGCGCTACCCGTACATATCCTCTTCAGCTACACCCGCATATCACCATTATCATGTTATCCGCTTTGTTCACCACAGTCACTAGGACTTCTTTTCCTTATACCGTCGTCTTATCCGACGCGTTCTTGATAACTTGTTAATCCCCGGAGTGGTGAGATACGTTCTGTATAATTTGTAGGGAAAAAAATAAGAAGAGTCATTGTCATAGTGCTGATGTGAGGACTTGGAAGCTATGGCAGATTTATAACTCTCAGGAAGCCTATGTGCGAATAAAGTTGCATGACAGCCATGTCCAGGGCCTGCATAAAAAATCGCTCAAACCTCTTTGGTAGAGGTCAAAAAAAACTCTCTGGCGGGGAGTCGAACCCCGCTCTCCCGCGTCCATCCTATGATGACAGGCGGGTGTACTATCCGATATACTACCAGAGACCTGTCACGGAGGTAATAACGCCAAATTTAAATAATAACATCATTTCGACGTTGACTTCCACTTTCACTTGCTCACTTCACTACATATTTGCCATGTGGTCGACGAGCCAAACCATGGAAACCTTGTCGGCTGGCATGCGCAAACCCTGACCATCATTTGGTGACCATCTGACTCTTCGCACCTCAAAGTTCCGTTACAGATGCACAACAGTTTCATGCAACAACACTTGGTGAAATTTGCTCAATGGGCCGCCGAGGAAGGGGTAGTTGCACTCTATCCCGATGCCCATCTACTATATCCGGTCCATGAAGTAGTACTATCTTTTGATCTGGTGCCTTACAAGTGACCTGGACTCGCAAATCTCATAACGTGCGCTTTGCGATAACCGTGACAGGTTAGTCCAACGTTCCTGGTTTCTGGTTCATTGCTACTACCAACTAACAGTGGTATTAGTGTCCTAAGAATGGCTTCTTTGACGTACACCCTCCGTCATTGAATTGGGCGGGTTTCCATGACGTCTCGGGCACATGGAATACTCACGACAGGAGATGCGCCTGTGAGCAAGGTATTTATCGATCGTAACGCTTCCTGTGGGTTCACCGCCTCATCCGATGATAACCAATTGACTGAAGGATGTTTTCTCGGGCCTTGTGGGAGTATGTCACTCCTGTGTCTTGCCGATGTCCTCACGTCGCGCAGCCCCATATTGACAACACTGCGTGATTAACAAACAGCCTTCACGCCGTTTTGCCTCTCGACTGAAGGTGAAGCACCCGATGTCAACGTATCTCCGCATCTGTTGGAACTCGCAGCCATGGTAGCAATCGATGGATAGGTTAAGTGACATGAGGACTTCCTGTGGTGTATGTGTCTTGCCGGCGTTTCCACGATGCGCTACGCGTGTTCACATGATGAACGGTACTAGTAGCTAATGTCATTTTCGTCCCATGCGTCCTCTCAAAGAGACGCTGTCATTTGTTATAAAGGCTAGACAATCTGGACATTACGTTTTGTTTTTCCTCGTCTCGATATACTGTTCCCCAGCAATGCTGGGCTGGTTATCCCTCGCGCTTGTCTTGGCGACTAATGTCGCTGCGTTACCCTCTCCACAATCTCCACAATTCAAAGAGCCAAGCGATGCTCCGTCCCAGTGCCAGGCACGTGCCTGGGTGAGAGCACCTGACATGGTTCCCGGCGAAGTTATCGCAGGAGATGTCAAGATTAAACTCAGCGGGCCATGCTCTGACGCAGAGAGCTATACGCTAGGCTTGCGCTATAAAGAAAAGGTATTCTGGAAGTTGAGGTGAGTTGTTTTCTCTATCTCGTATCCTCCATTAGACATCCCGACAGACGGGAAGATGCGCCGATTCCGAAAATACCCAAATTGCCGGTCTCGAACAGTGATTTGTTCCGAGTCCGACCTTCTCAGAACTCCAGGAATCCAGACTACAACGAAGCAGAATGGAAGGCGTACGAGAACTCAGTTCAGAATAAGGACCTGTGGTCTATACATGAGGAAGAACGGATTGCCTTTGAAATCAAGAGCCCTCTGATCACAGGTATGAATTGAGATTTTGAGTAGACTCAGAGTTTAATGTCGAGAACAGATCCATTGTCGACAAACTTCACGACCCGATTCGGAGTTCTGGTACCAAATACAAACTACCCTCCAGGATTAGACTGTCGTGGAGGTTTCATGGCTCACGGGGGAGCGACTGATGTAAGAACAACCTTTATTGATTTCGTCTTGTATTCAATGACGTTGTAGATGATATCCAGTGAATCGATTTATGAGTACTTTGTCGAAATCGGATTTAGCAATGGCACCATTTCAGAGATACCGGCGGGAATGACGGCCTTCACCCCGTTCTACCTCTTGACGGAAAGCAGCCCACCTAGTGTTAACGTATCTCTATCTCTGGCACCCGCACGGCGCTCCGGTTCTAACATGAAGCCATCAGTAGACAGGTTGCGGAGCAACTACACGATTGAATTATCTGTTCCTGAAGGAGCTCACGTTTATCAAAGTATGTTTATGTTTCAGTGAAATGGAAACCTTAACCTAGTTATCTGATTGCATGCTTTCCAGACTCGTCCGTGAATCTCACGGCCATTGTTCATCGGATAGGATACACGAATCGGACAGACACTCCCGTAGAGCTGTGTGCGTTCTCGGCGAGTGGCATTGAATGGCATTCTCAGGAGCTCCAGAACCGATCATGGTCATTTCCACCGTCCATCAAGGCGCTGGTCCCCTCCGTTGCTCCTGTGCGGTACTCACAATTCTCTCAAATCGTAATCCCCAATCCAGTCCCATGCAGAGAGATCAAATTTGCGGCAACTCCTGCTCCCTTGACTCACGAAAGCCACATTCTTTCCACGTCCTCCGAACCGCTTTCATTATCCCTCTACGTGAATCGTGATGCTGTTTCTGATTTTTCAACGTACTATCAGAAACTGGGACATAGTGTAAAGCTGAATCTCTATGTCGCACCTGATCCATCAGAGCCATGGGATAATGAATTCGAGAAAATCCAATGGGAGAAACAGATTGCGCATGCAGGTGGGGAAGAATTTGACTGGGTGCCCTGGATGCCGCCAACACAGCCTCGTCGCCGATTCCTTTCCGGCAACGCCAATATACTATCAGTCATTCCAATGCAGGAGCAGGGACCTGCGCGATCAACGCCAATCCACTACCTGTCCGACAAAGCTCGCCAACCAGTATTTGTCGATTCGTCGGACATCGCTGACCTTCGTCTGATGTTGCCTGAGGAACGCGATCTCATTGCCCCACTTACGCAACCATCTATCAAGGTTTTTGCCAAGGGAGAAGAACTTCCACGCAGATATTTCACTGGCGGTGATATGCGGTACCCAATATACGTTGGAGATACCTGGGTTAAGAAAGTATTGCCTATTACTGCTGAGGGTCAGCGCGAGAGAGATGCTGTGGACCACTTGCTCGTTGTGCAGTCATGACGATCATCAATTGATGTGATGATGCCAGATGGTAGTCGTAGTAATTCGTGATTTTAATTCAACACTACGTAGTAGTGCTACATGGAGATCCTTCAATGATTCTGCTCTCGATTCTCAGCTGGTAGTCCATCCTGGCGCTAAGTCCTGATTAGGATAAGCAACTTCATAGAAAGACGTTCTGAACCGACTCTAAGCTGAGCTGAGCCTGGCGCTGTCTTTAGGAATCCCACAGCAGGTAGCTCAATTTAGACGCAGGGCAGGACTGTTAATATAAGACCTCACCAACGATCCAATGATCCACATCCAAAGACGTGGCGGTGTCTATGTAGATCGTAGTGGCGCAGGCCCATGCTGACTTGCTTACTCGGAGGGCAACATCACCAAAATTACACAACTCAGTCATGGGTATACATGGCAATGTCGGAGCTACCGTATCTGCCATATAACGACAAGAGCCGGGACTCAGTCAGATGGAATAACAACTGTATTGGCTAGATATCGTAAGAGCCAGGACTAAGTATAGTGAGTATCTAAATAAGTGTAATGAGCGTGCAAACATACCTCAGTCGGGTGGAATAACGACTAAGGGAAGAGGTATTAAGAAGCATGTATATTCTTTATGTCTTAACACTCCCCCTCAGCTAGCGTCGTCGGTACGCGCACACAGTCCCAAACGGTCCCTCAGTTTCAAGTGAGTATCAGCAGGTAGGGTCTCGTGAAGATATCTGACATATTTTCTGCTGACTTCACGTAGCGCGGACAAACGTGGCCATCGCGCACAGCTTCGTGGATCCAATTATAAGACAATCGGATGTGTTTTGTACGGTGCGTACCTTCATCTGGTTTGGTATTGCCGATGGATTGCCCATATAGAGCGCTGTGAGTTCATCATTTACAAGCAAGTTCGCACACCCAAAGGACCTTACGGCCACCAAATTAGATGAGGGGATCTTGAAGAGGGTGACGAGAACGAGGATGATGACGACTGAGACTGATGATGAGGATGAGAGTGATAAGGAGGACAGGATAATAGGAGTATGGTGAGGTTCTCGACGACGACATACTCGCTGAAGAGGCTATTGGATATCACCGTTGGTGTTGCCCGAGGAACGCGGTCTCATCGCCCCACTTACGCAGCCATCTATCAAGATTTTTGCAAGAACTCCACGCAGATATTGCGCTGGCGGTGATATGCGGTACCTGATCTACGTTGGAGACACCTGGGTCAACAAAGTATTACCTACTGTGGCCGTTGAGGGTCAGTACTTGCGAGAGAGATGCTGTGGACTACTTGCTTGTTGTGCAGTGGTGATGATCATCAATTGATGTAAAGATGCCAGAGGGTAGTTGTAGTAATTTATAATTCAACACTGCTACACCAAGGTCTTGAAGCTTGATGGTTGCTCCCAATTCTCAGTTGACATAGTCCATCTGGCACTAAGTCAATAAGCAATTCCACAGAAACGACGCTGAGTCAAAGGGCAATCCCACAGAAGGTAGCAGGGCAGGACTTAAGGAGTCTTGGTATCACGTCGATATTTCAAATATCGGAAATCACCGAACTTGTCCAGTGCGTCATGTACCAACTACAAAGCAGACTGCTACACCGTGCCTTACGGACACTGGTTGTGCACTGTCACAATGACTGTTATTATTCCACAGCTTTTCAATAACGAACTTCCTCGGCTGATGCTCTTCGCTATCGATGTGCGACGCAGTCTTTGTTATGTTGAAGGTACACTGGCAGATGCTGAGGATATGACCCAGAACCTGAGGAGTTTGGGGATAGTAAGGAAACATCGCCTCCATATTTAGAAAATAACCCGTTCCCTGGCCTACAGGCAAGGTATTTACTGATGATGACAGCTTCCCGTGGGGTACATGTAGGCGCAAGTCACCCCGATGTCTTGCCGGCGTCTTCAAAATGCGCCACCTGTGTTCACATGATGAACGGTACTAGTATCCTCGTCCCGTTCATCTCACGCGTCCTATCAAAGAGACGCTGTCGTTTACTATAAATGTTTGGACAATCTGGACACGTTGTTTTGTTTTCCTCTGTTCTTCAGCAATGTTGCGCTGGCTATCCCTCGCGCTTATTTTGGTGACCAACGTCGCTGCATTTATTGACTTACTACCCTCTCCAGAATGCAAGGAGCCAAGCGATGCACCGCCCGAGTGCCAGGCACGTGCCTGGGTGAGAGCATCTGACATGGTTCCCGGCGAAGTTATCGCGGGAGATGTCAAGATTAAACTCAGCGGACCATGCTCTGACGCAGAGAACTATACGCTAGGCCTACGCTACAAGGAAAAGGTATTCTGGAAGTTAAGGTGAGTTGTTTTGTCTCTCTCGTATCCTTTACTGAACACCCTGATAGGCGCGAAGATGCACCGATTCCGAAAATGCCCAAATTGACGTATAATTGGACGGTCTCGAACAGTGATTTATTCAGAGTCAGGCCATTCCATAACTTTGGGAATACAGACTACAACGAAACAGAATGGAAGGCGTACGAGAACTCAGTTCAGAATAGGGACTTGTGGTCTATGCACGAGGAAGAACGGATTGCCTTTGAAATCAAGAGCCCTCTGATCACAGGTATGAATTGAGATCTCGAGTAGACTCAGAGTTTAATGTCGAGAACAGATCCATTGTCGACAAACTTCACGACCCGATTCGGAGTTCTGGTACCAAATACAAACTACCCTCCAGGATTAGACTGTCGTGGAGGTTTCATGTCTAATGGGGGAGCGACTGACGTAAGAACAGCCTTTATTAATCTCGTTTTGTGCTCAATGTCGCTGCAGATGATATCCAGCGAATCGATTTACGAGTACTTTGTCGAAATCGGGTTTAGCAACGGCACCACTTCAAAGATACCTGCGGGGATGACATCCTTTACCCCGTTCTACCTCTCGACAGAAAACAACGCACCGTGTCAACGTATCCCTATCTCCGCCACCCGCACGCTCCCAGGGCGGTTTTAACTTGAAGCCATCAGTAGACGGGTTGCAGAGCAACTACACGGTTGAAGTATCTTTTCCTGAAGGAGCTCACGTCTATCAAAGTATGTTTCAGTGAAATGGGAACCTAGACCTAATTATCTGATTGCATGCTTTCCAGACTCGTCGGTAAATTTCACGGCCATTGTTCATCGGACAGGATATACGAATCGGACAGATATTCCTAAAGAGCTGTGTGCGTTCTCGGGGAATGGCATTGAATGGCATTCTCAGGAGCTCCAGAACCGATTACAGTCAATTCCACCGTCCATTAGGGCGTTGGTCCCCTCTGTTCTCCCCATGCAGCATTCACAATTCTCCCAAGTCCCTCGTTCCCCATGCGGAGAGATCAAGTTTGCGGCAACTCCTGCACTCTTGACTCACGAAAGCCACATTTCTTCCACGTCTTCCGAACCGCTTTCATTATCCCTCTACGTGCATCACAATGCTGTTCCTGGATTTTCAACGTACTATCAGACACTGGGACATCGTGTAAAGCTGAATCTCCATGTCGCGTCTGATCCATCAGAGCCATGGGATAATGAATTCCAGAAGATACAATGGGAGAAGGAGATTGCGGGTGCGGGTGCGAATGCAGATGAATTTGACTGGGTGCCCTGGACGCCGCCGACGCAGACTCGTCGCCGAACCCTTTTCGGCGATGCCAATATACTATCAGTCATTCCAACGCAGAAGCAGGGACCTGTGCGATCAACGCCAATCCACTACCTGTCTGACAAAGCTCGTCAACCAGTATTTGTCGATTCGTCGGACATCGCTGACCTTCGTCTGATGTTGCCCGAGGAACGCAATCTCATTGCCCCACTTACGCAGCCATCTATCAAGGTTTTTGCCAAGGGAGAAGAACTTCCACACAGATATTGGACTGGTGGTGACATGCGGTACCCGATCTACGTTGGAGACACCTGGGTCAACAAAGTATTACCTACTATGGCCGCCGAGGGCCAGCGCGAGAGAGATGCCGTGGACCACTTGCTCGTTGTACAGTGATGACGATCATCAATTGATGTGATGATGCCAGAGGGTAGTCGTAGTAATTTATAATTTCAATTCAACACTGCTACACCGAGATCCTCCAATGAATTGATGGTTGCTCCCAATTCTCAGCTGGCACAGTCCATTCTGGCGCTAAGTCTGGATTAGAACAAGCAATTTCGTCGAAACGACGCATTGAGCCAACTCTGAGCTGAGCTGAGCCTGGCGCTGTCTTGAGCAATCATCTACAGCAGGTAGCTCGATTTAGACGCAGGGCAGGACTGTTAGTATAAGGCCTCACCGACGATCCACATCCAAAGACGTAGCGGTGTCTATGTAGATCGTAGTGGTGCAGGCCCATGCTGACTCGGAGGGCAAGAACACAACAAAAGACTGCATACACGGGTACTCTTGAAGCAGCGGTCACCGACCAACATAGTAATTTACGGAATTCAGCCTAGTGTGCGGTGATCTCATGATGGAATTTGGGTTCTAATCAAGCAGCTCTCAACCTCTCTAGTGCGGTAATATAATCAGGGAGTGTCGCCAACGCACTGCCGACGATATACAATGCCATCATTCCACCCAAGGCTCGCACCCTGACCCATGGTACAACATACAGACCCCGGTCACAACCTGTACTCCAGACTCTCAGCCAGCACATCATCGACCTCGTTCATCTTTTGTCTATAAAGTAATCCAGGGTCATGGCGCAAGTCCACACTCGAATAACTCCAAATGACGCTCTCTGTGCTCCCAACCATATCTGGCGGTATGAGGAGCGGCGTGCGCGCACCACTGAACGGGAATAAAGACATGTCGAGTAACCGCACCCCCCGCAACGAAGGGAGCTTGACTTTCTCTTCGTGAGGCATGAGCGTCACAGCTGAGTGTTCGCTCGGATCCAAACATCGTGCCCATAAGTCTATCCATGTCAAGTGTGCATGCACAGGCATTCGGATTGGAATACACGTGTCCGTGGCGAGGTGGCGTAAATTTGGACACATGGCAAGCAATGGAATCAGGGGAAGGGGGCGGCGAAAGTTGTAAAAGCCGTAGCGATTGTTCATATAAGGCCTAACCAATGAGACAAAGTGGAGACCATGTCCAAATTTACGCAACAGTGGTTCAAAAACCATCACATCCTCAAGAGCTAGTGATGTCAAAAGCAGACGTCGGAGAGAGGGGAGGGTGAGGGTCTCAGCCAGTGCAGAAAAGGCGTTCATGTCGTGTCTATACGAGTGCCAAGTAATATGCAGTTCTTCCAAAAAGGCAAGATGTAGGTGCTCGGTGGGGAGTTCATCGTTTTCTTCGATGAGCATGTCGATATGGAAAGCGGTGAGGTGCGTGAAAGCTGGCATGAGGTTCAGGGTGTCTTTGAAAGTGCGATTGATACGGAAGTGCAGATCTGTGATGCGAGGAGGGGTGTTCTGCGTGAGAGCGACCAGGCGGAGAAACTCGTGACTAAGAAAAGGCTGTCTCTTCATGATGGGCACAAGAGTGAATTTGGTAAGATTTGGAGTCACCGCTAAGATGCTGTCTGCAGCCATCGAGACTGTAGCCATCTGCGACCCTGCGACATAACACTGCAGGTGCAGAGATAATATTATATCGCCGAGACTGCGGTTGTTCGAGACGACGCGTGCAAGGGCGAAGAGTTGCTTGCTCTGCAGAACGACAACATGGCGGTAGAGGAAGTTGATGCCGACATTATACCAGTACCTGCATACTAGCACATTGCTCCTGAGGGTCTGCAGCGAAGATGACCGCGAGGAACGATTGTCGCGAGCAATGACAGTAGAATCTAGGAAATGCTGAGTCGGTGGCATAGTAAGCTCCATGATAATGCAGAGGATTTCAACCGGAATTTCGGTTGCAATAGGAACTTGATGTGTCTGAGGAGACGATGAGCGATGATAGTAAGAAAGATCGGAAAACTACCTTTGTGCAATCTGCATTTGCATCCATGTCTGGCACTTGATTGTAGGTAATTGTGTTGCTGGGGTTCTCCTTGAAAGGGTCAAGCCAAAATCTCAGCGGTTGTTTAGTTATTCAACGAGGTCGACTTACCAGTGGTTTAGGATCCATGGTTCGCCCGCAAAGGATACGCTGACTGGAACAAAAATACGTCCTTTTATCTCTTTGCTTTCGGGGCCGTAGTGATGAATCTGTAATTTTGAGGTACAATCGCGGCCCCGCAATGACTCTTCGCAACTAGGTATGTGAAAATTCGCGCGAAACTTGGCGTGAAGGATTGGATGTATGGTCTCATACCTCACCCGGGAAGCTGTCAATGGAGGTCAAAGGTCACACAATTTAAATGTTAACAAGGATGTCTGTCCAGTAACAAGTCCTGCACACCAGCACCCTTGTCAAGCTGATAAAACTGATGTGCGGAACATAGGACGCCGGGAAAGCATCGTAATTCCCACTATCATGGGGAGAATTCCTGTGGAGGGTGCCTGTATCACAAAATTCATGAGTCATCTGAATGCAGGCTCTGCCAAGACAGCTGACTCGAATACTGAAGCGTGGATCCGATGAGGAGCACTTTGATTTTGATTACTCACTCCCGCTTGTCTGGTTTGCTGAGGGACCCAGAAGGAACGAATTCTGTAGTAAGAAGCAGTCACTGGCAGGGTAATACACCTTGCTTAGTCACCAAGGATCGAACACGTTGACCAAACAAGTTCAACTAGTTCAACGTCACAGCTTGCAGTGGTTCTCAAGTACTGGTGCTGGCCAGCCTTCATCGAAGCTTCGTCGTTTGTGCAACGCACCACACCCTTCATATTCTTCTCGATGGCCGAAATTCTCACCGAAATTCGAAAAATCCCGCCAGTGACACGCTTTCTGGTTCTATCGTCTCTCGGCATCACCGTCCCAGCCATTTTGAATCTCGTACCGCCATGGAGGCTTGTCTTCATGTCAGAGGCTATTATTAAAGAATTTGAGGTGCGTCCCATACTAATTCTCATTTACAAGGCCGAACATCTGCCAGAGTCTAACGATCCTTGACATAAATCATAGTTCTGGAGATTATACACAAGTTTCTTCATCGGAAGTAAGTGTCGTGCCATTATGGACTATGTGACGCTATGCGAGCTCACCGTACGTTTCAGGTATGAACCTGAACTATATTTTTGAGCTTATCATGCTGTAGTAAGTATCATGTCTTTCTCCCTTGACCGAGAATCCAACAAGCTGTGGTTTCAAGCCGCAACTCAAACACGCTTGAATCAACTCACTACGAGCGCCGTTCCTCCGACTACGCCTGGCAACTCTTTCTGGCTAGTGTCGCTCTGGTCGTACGTCCCATATCTCACTTGCGCCACCCATGACCTCACATTTCACATTCGTGATTAATACTAATAGGGCGTGAACCGTCCCATCCAATCTTACTCGCATACCCGCGCCTTGCTTCATACACTCACCTACTTGATGTGTTCTCTATCTGTACCAGGTGCACTAACGAGTGTCATGGGCCTCATCACTATCCCTGTCGCATACTTCCCATACGCACTCTTGGGCATGGACCTCCTCACGGGTGGGACAGGTGCCGCCGCGCAGGGCGTGAGCGGGATGCTTGTCGGACACGCGTGGTGGTGGCTAGTCTGGGGGCCCGGTATCGGCTCAGGTGGTGTCGAGCAGGGCATGTATGCGGGATGGGGACGTGCTCCTACGTGGTTGAAGAACTGGTTTGGTGAGCGTAACGATTATGGACGCACCGGAAGTAGGAGGGGTGCCGTGCAGGCCTTTGCACCAAGGCAGCGTGCTGAGGAGGCTGCTGCTTCGGGGCGGGTGACGGGATATAGCTGGGGGTCTGGAAGGAGATTGGGGGGGTCGTAGTTCGTGGGAGGCTGACCGCTTTTGACGTGCTGTGTGATGATATATTTCATCATCGTTATTTCGGCCTCCCGGGCGAAGCGTTGAAAAATAATGGTCACAGTTCGTCCCTCCAAGATCTCATAGGCCTGGTTGCTGTGTCGCTTTCTATTGAAAATCCTTACATGACTTAATAGTCAAAACCACATTCACATTTACCATGTTCCTAACCCCCACTTATTGTTGTTATATAACGTTAGTCTCCATTGTCAAGAATCAGTGCAATGTATGACCACTGCTCACGTATATCATGATCAACGGACGTCAAAGATCATGAAAGCTTTTCAGCCTGTATACCATTTACCAACACAAATATTGACAGACGGTAAGATTATGATCATCAAGACATTTTGCCCGCTACCGTTAGGGAGTGGGTCTTATAGTTCGTCACCTTTGCGGTGAATTTCGAGATGATGTAAAATCTGTGCCCATTTTTTCGCCAGCATTGTCGAAGCAGGCCTTGGAAGCTGTTGCGTCTTAGCATGGTCTTGCTTTTAATGGGACAAAGGATCAGGTTTTGGACCGAACCGTGGCACATTTTTGCCGTAGGTGTTGTGTGCGAAGTGGCGAAGATGGCATGATCGTTTGTCGTGAAGTTGCTCAGGATCATAGCTGTGGACGAGGACGAATCCTTTGACAGTAGTGATAATAAGATGGCGGACCTGCACATCAATCCTTTAAGAAACGATGGTCACATTTGAGAATCAGATCGTTACCTTGGACGACGTCATCTATAGTAACATCGAGGAGCTCAAGCAGAACAAGGACATAAACGTTATGGAGTGGACCGCACACGGAGGGACAGACGCTTCCAGCACACCAGAGTTTATTATGGTCAGCACCGAAAAATTGTATGCAGTATGCAGATCTCACATTATGAATCAACACAAATGACTGACATATCTCAAGGTGCCAAAAGCTGCGCAACATGGTGTGCAATGCAAGTGCACAAGAATCACCTCAACAAAGGGACGAAAGCACAGATAGGAGAACAGCTGAAGGATCGTCCTCTGCTGGTCCTGGAGCAAATGACAACACGAACGAAGGAGGCATCTTCACCAATGATTTCTACGAGCCAACCGTGCTCCCGGATTACAGAGGTGACTTATTCCAGCACGCGAATGCAAAGCTCCATCAGCCTGACATTCGGAATGTCGAGAACGACATTATCCCGCGCCAAGATTAGCATTCGGAGCTTAGGCACGGTACATTGGTCACGATCCGAATCACCCTGCATGCATTCAATTGGAAGGAACGACGGGTGAGGCTGACTCACTCACGAAGATATTGGCTGACTAGATTTTCAGGTCTATGAGCCCAACACTCGCACGACATGCGTTTTGGATCAACCCGAGCTGCAGGTTGAGCCGGTCAACTCACAACCAAACAGATTTAATTATAATGTCTCGACGAAGTCGCATGCGTTGGCAACTTGGACGCGATACCAGGTGTCCAGCTAGGCAAAAATGTAAGGGAAGATTGAGAGCGAAAGAAAGCAGGAGAGTGCAGACTGAAGAAACGACAGTTGGTTTGGATTGGCCGAGAAAAAGCTAGGATCGAGTTGTATGTATTTTTAGGAAGGGATGTGCGAATGAATCAGCTCTAAAAAGGGTAGGAAAACAATATCAGGGAAACCGACCAATGAGGTACTTAGCAGCACCAATGAAGGTCCGGGGGGCAAGTCTGCCGAGGTACCAGTTGGGAAAAACGATGTAAGAAGGTTCGGGTGACCGAGTGGTCCGAGTCGCGAAAGTCCGCTGAGTACTTGCATGATCGTTGAAGGATGCGCGCGATTTGAGAAGGCGCCGTGCCTATTTACAGCTTTGTCATTTAGCTAGCCCTATTAACTCGGATCCACTTACCTTTATGTAGGCTAACGCGCTGGTTTCCTAGACGACTGCAGTCAAAGAAAATCAAACAAGACGTTGAGGGGAGAAGTTTAATCTGCGTGATTAACCTCGAGTGTGAATTGTGTGGCTGCAGGCTGCGCGCTAACCCCCCGGATCAACGTGATGACGTAATACAATACAACGGACCATGCCGACGGCCCCAGGTAACCTTTTGTGTGCTCCACAATAGCGTCGACGTTTGGTACATAAGCACATGCACTGGCACTGTATCACCCCCTTATCACCCCCTTACATATCCATGCATCACTAGCATCACTCATGGCATTACAGACTTTGATAGCCCTCATCTTTGCCTTCAGGTCTATCCGCCGGACAAGGGAATCTGACCCAGAAAAGGGTCCGGAGACCCTCAGTGAAACTCCCAATGTAAAAAGGCGCGCTCACAACGACGACGAAGGGGACGCGGACGAGGAGAAAGCCATGGCCCAGGAAATGCATCCGGACGTAGACGTTGACGACGATGAGGGTGACTCACCCCCAGATGAATCTGTCTCGGGCCCGCAGACCGGCCCGCTCCAGCTGCCTTCCCTCGGTTCTCCTAACAAACGTCCATCGTTGTTTTCTTGGGCGAAGACATTCATGTTTCCGCCCTCATCGGGAGACTTGTCCTACGTACCAAACTACCGGTCCGCTCCCCTTATAACTGGCATCGTGATACCATTCTCGATCTTGCTCGAGATTCCAGGGCTTACTGGGCGCTGGTACATCCGCACCGAGAATTATAATACCGTCCAGACTCGTTCTAACCCAGTCTTATTGGATATTGGGCTTGCATTTAGTATGACTTGTGCTGTCCTCGCTAATGTATGTATCATCCTAAGGTTTCTTGAGAAGCGGGTCATGACAATGACAATATTATGTATCGTGTTTCTGTCCATCCATGGTTTGTGTCTCGCTTTGAGCAAAAACATGTATTAACCTGAGGTATAGATATTATCAATATTGTCGCTCTCACCATCTTCGGCGTGATTCACCGATTTAACGACGGGTATACCTACGGCGAATCCTTCTGGATGACTGTCTGCTCCACCGTCGTATCGGTCATTACCAATGTAACTCTTATCATAGACTTCATTTACACTCCCAATTTCAAGACAAGCGGTATGTATCCGGTATGCTATTCTCTTCACTTACCGCCCTAACACAATACAGGCAGTGGCCTCACCCGCAAGCAGCGCACGCTAATGATAATGCTCATAATCCTATTTATCTACATCGCACTTGGCTCTTTAGTCAATTCGTTCCTGCTCTCTCTGAGCTTTATCAATGCGCTTTACTTCACCGTGACGACAATCGAAACTATCGGCTTTGGTGACATTGTGCCCAGTTCACTCGGATCAAGAGTATTTATCTGCTTTTATGCTGCATTTGGTATCGTGAATCTTGCCGTGGTGGTTGGTATGGTACAAGAGACGGTGAGAGAAGGGCAGCAAGTCGGTTATTTACGTCGCCTACACGGTATGCGAGAACGACGACGTGCATCACGGCGACGAAGGAATGCAGAAAAGCGATGGCGGTCGGCGGTTATTTGGAGATTGCGAGACAAAGGTGCAACAGTGTGGGTTCGAAAATACCGTTCGACATCCAACTCTCTTTGGGCCGAGGTGAAGAGAAGGTTTTTTAGCGCTACAGAAAAGATCCCGCACCCTTTGGATCATTCCCGGGGAAAGCGTCTGAACCTCGAAGCGCTCACACACCCTGAGTTGAAAGCGGCAGCGATGGAGGCGGGCGTTCCACTTGACACACTGCTCCCACCACAGTTTTACGAAGCGCAGATGCAGAATGATAATGACGACGACAATGCTGATGACTTGGAGGTAAGTGTTTTTTCTGTCTTTGTTTGATGTGGCACTCATGACGGAAGAAGATTGCAAGCACATACCCCGCCTTATCTGTCCCGCATTCAGTGTATGGAATGAATGTGCGGCGCGGCGCGGATCGAATGCTAACACACCAGCGGCTTGGTGCTATGGCAGCGCTCCTAACGAGATTTGCGATTGGAGTTTCCCTGCAACACGAAGGACCTATACTACAGGCCACTGTCGGCGTCAAACGTCCTAGCGAAGACTCTGCTTTGAACAATAGAGGTGGCTTGAGCGCTGGCGCGGACGGCTCAGTTGAAGGCGAATATAGCACTGGAAGCTCTACGACACTCGAAACGACCTCGAGCAGCGACGATGTAAACGTAAAATTTGACTCAATGGTTGCGAACAAGGAGAAGTGCGTTCTTTTGATGCGCTCAGCCTTTGCATGGACATTGTTTGTTGTGTTCTGGTTGGTGAGTTTGTTTTTGATCTTCGCTTGATCTTCATTCCCAATGTATGTATATTGAGCGATCTGACAAATACTGTAGGTTGGCTCTGCAATATTCAGTCTGACTGAAGGCTGGTCATATGGCTCATCTATATATTTCTGTAAGCCTTTCAAGTTCGTTCATTCGAAACGTCTGATTTTGACTTGCAACGTGATGTTTAGGCTTTATTGCATTCACAACGATCGGGTATGGTGATCCTGCGCCCAAGACGCCTGCAGGGCGATCTGTGTTTGTCGTGTGGGCCCTGCTCGGCGTTGCCACAGTGACCGTATTGGTTTCTGGTGCGTGCTTATTATTTCTTTGTAACTCTTTACTGACATTCACCTTGATTTTTGGTTACCTTGAATTGCATGCTCATCCTTTGCTATTCTAACGCTCGCATCCATATTCCAATATATAAATGTGACGTTTGATCGCAGTCGCCTCCGAGGCCTACTCAAAGCGCTACAAGGCGATGCTCCAAAGCGACTCTTTCGAGCGAGCCGTCACGATGTACCGCACTCGCACAAACAAGATGTATATGACGAGGACCCGGTCCCTGTCCCTATCTGAACCCCAGCATCCGAGTCAAGCCCAAAGCCCAATTGACATCCAGACTCAGTCGTTGACTCCAACCTCTCCAAATGTCCGCTTCCAACCCCACGTTCCTTCTTCAGGTCTCCGAATACGCACTACGTCTCTCGAGCAGGACGATGATGGTGGCGAGGGGAGCCAGCAACCACAAGACACAGGAATGAACGCACCAGATCCAAATCTACGTGCGCAGGACTTGCTCGAGACGTTCCCGCGACACGTCCTCAACAAGGCACGTTCATTCCAGGAGTACATGCGCTGTCTGGGGAACAGAGGCGGTGGTACGAAATCATACGTGAATGAGCAGCTGAAGGCACTCCTGGACGATGTGGTTGGCGTGAACGATATGGAGGAGAGCGTGAAAATGGATATTTTGAGCGATAGGGATACCAGGCGGGTAAGTTGGCCTTCGCTTACCATTCGATGAAGAGTTGTGAAATTGACTTTTGAACTTTTCAGACGCTCGTCACGTTAAGCATCGAGAGTGAGCTCCCATTTTCTTGGGTCGTCCGAAGGTTGTTGAATTGACTGTTTGATGCAGAATCGCTGATGGAGCTTATGACTATTGCGGAGGAGGCAATTGCAGCGATGAATGACCGTGACCGTGTTTCTGCGGCCTTGGATCAAGGGCGGGAAGATGCTGATGTTGATGTTAGAGGCTGAATTGACGGCAAGTGCTGTTGGGGGCAGCAACAAACGTCGACGGCATGCTCTTATAGGCACACTTAACCCGAGCTAGGGCGGTCATTGCAAGCAACAAGCTTGAAAGACTCAGGTACGCCCAGCACAGCTTGAGGACGAAAGGTCAGGAGCTTTATCTCCAATCCTGAGCTTGAACACTCACCACAATCATCATGTAGTGCTTCATTCATTCAGAATAAGTGTATGCACGCCTTCCGTAACGGCTTTACGACGTAGTCCATCTTCACGTCACATGGTGATGAACCGTCGAAACCGCCACCGCCACCCTCCGATACACTCACTTGATTCCTAATCGACTAGCGTCCAGTTCGAGTACATTGTGCGCATCCGCCACCGAGACTCACTGATATATATAGTATGGCACTTACTTCCGGTCTTCGAGATGCTCGGTACTGAATTCTCATGAATTCGCGTGTAGCAGTCGCACGTCTAACTTGCTACGTGGCTACTCCTCAGCAGCTCAAGTTGGTTACTTTTGATTCAACTGGATCTCGATTATTGGTAGCTTAGTCAGCACGTCGTCTATTCTCCGAATCGTTCATGCCACCACATAAGTTCCATCATTGTGCAAAGTAAACTATGCTATCACGATCCTAGTTTGCGTGGCACGTGCTACATTTCTGGCCTACTAAGCCACCAGGGTTCGGATGCGGTCGCATCATGGCCGCTAGATGTTTCGTAACCGAATCCTATTTAAGAATGCCCTGAGCTCCGAAATAATTTCAAAACGACAGACAAGTTCAGCTCTGAGCTGGTACTCTCACGACGCGGACATCCAAGCGGAAAATCCAGGTCAATCGTTGCTCACGCAATGCAGTCCGAGTCTGAGGAGCGAAAGCAGGGAGAGTCGCACTCCAGTTCCGTGACACCGGATCTGGCCTCTGATAAACCTGTGGGCAATGATCTGGAGGGCAGTCGGTATTATACAGGATTTTTCAGACGTACCACCCAGCTACTTTCTCGGTATGGAATTGAAACTCATGGGTGAGTGAGATGATGTCGCTGTGATACCTGCAGTGTCTGAGGCATTTCCGCCTGTTACTACTCGGATCAGCATCGCACCGGTACCAGCAGAGGAACGCCTCGAGACTCGATGGTACCAAATGTTCTTTGTATGGTTTTCGGCTAACATGAATATCTTGACGTGCGTTTTTGAGTCCTCTCTTGACTCTTGCTATCTGCTGAGTCACTTGACACCTGCAGATTCAGCACTGGTACTGCGGGGCCTGCATATTTTTCTCTGGGAGTTCATGACTCTTTAATCATCATTGTCATTGTTGATCTGGCGTAAGTGCCAATAGTCCATTCGAATATCTATTTGCTGTGAATCACAATTAGGGTCTGCTTGTTGCCTGCGTTTTTGTGAGCTTTGCTATTATTACCTGGACGTTACTCGGGACTTATTAATGTCTAGTGCTGTCTTTGGGCCAAAGCTTGGCACGCGAGCTATGGTACAGGCAAGGTTCTCGTGGGGGTGGGTCACATCTACTTGAATTTCAATTGCCAGTGTCATTCACATCAAGGTATTTTGGTGCCATCATACCGACGGTCTTGAATGTCTTTTCCATGCAAGGCTTCCTTATACTGAACTGTATCGTTGGTGGACAAACGCTTGCAAGCTTATCTTCTCGTCTTAATGATACTCTTGGTATTGTTATCATTGGTATCATAACTCTTGTGGTATGTTAAAATTGTTGGTATTGTGTCAAAATGTCAAGTTTTACAGGTCACTTTCTGTGGATACCGCATCATCCATTGGTGGGATCACTCCACTATGCACTATTCATATAATTCTGATACAATTTTGATTATAGGTACGAAAGCATCGCCTGGATCCCAAATGTGGTCGCTTTTATCACCATGCTGGGTGTCGGCTATCCACAACTACGCGACAACCAATCAGCTCCTGTCTCTGAAGCGACTGTCGCTGAAGTTATCTCTTTTGCGTCTATCCTCGCATCTAGCGTTCTCAGCTGGTGTACTATGACTCCTGACTATGGTGTATACCACAGCCCTGCTGCTTCCTCGTGAGCTCCCTTAAACCATCCGCGAACTCTCTTTAACATCCTTGTAGTGCGAGAATTTTTCTTTACACGTATCTCGCGTTTTTCACCGCTAGTGTAAGCCCCCATGTACTGTCACCAGCGTCATCGTAACAGTTTGAAAAGGTGACCGCCCACACCCTCGGTGCTGCGTTCGCGGCCGCAGCTCCTAACGTGCCTGCTTGGAACGAAGGATTTAGCGACAGCTCTTCCGTCGGTGGCTTGTTATACAGCGTGCTGCTACCTACAGGCGCATTTGGAAAAATTCTGACCGCTCTGGTCGCTCTCAGCATACCCAGCGCTTGTGCACCAACCATGTATACATTCAGCAACAGTCTCATGGCTGTTGCTCCGTGGTTTGCTGCAGTGCCGAGATGGGTGTATATTCTTATCTCTGAAGGGATGTAAGTATCTTCAGCGTCGTGAACTCCTGTGGTACTTATTATTTGTGTTTAAGCCTGATACCAGTGGCCATTGTCGGCGCCAAAAAGTTTTATACCACTTTTGTTGACATCCTGAGTACGAGTCCCGAATATCGCAGTATCTATCGCTAAAATTCTGATTTCTCAGATATCATCGGGTACTGGTCGTCAGTATTTGCCGCGATTATTCTTACAGAACATGTGTTATTTCGGCGGGCCTCTTTTTCTGAGGATCAATATCCCATCACGACTTGGGCTTCGTATACCCTTTTGCCTAGCGGTATTCCTGCGGTCGTTGCCTTTGCGTGCGCCTGCGGAGCCCTTGTTCCATTTATGTCACAGGCTTGGTATGTAGGACCAGTTGCGAGGCATGGAAGTGGAGATGTTGGGGTATTCGTAGGGTTTGTGGTGGGGGCTATCACATACGCATTGGCAAGGGGATTCGAAAACTGTGGTACAAGAAGATGAGTAAATCAGATGTATAGCGGTAGTCGTTTCTAAGGCAGATAACATGTACACGAACTGCTCTTTGACGTCGAAGAGACAAGGTAGTTCGAAATCAAAATGAATGTCAGTCTGCGACTGGACAAATCGTGCGCACCTGTAAACTCGAACATGTGTAACATGTACTGGTAGTAAGTTTGTGTTTGCTGTTGTGCAGCGGTCCTATACGATAGTGCGAGGGAAAAAAATGGTTATTAGATCGTTTTTGGGTGGAAGCCCCGATAACGGCCCCAACCTGTGCAAGAGAGCCGAGGTGAGCTGCGAGGGCGGGTGGGCAGTCTCGCAGCCTCAAACTCAGCAAGTTTATTAGGTACCAGCCACCCGGGTCCCTGAAGCCTGGAAGAGGGATGTCATACCACTGGTATGTAGTTCGACCTATGTGTGAGTGAGCAATGTGGCACAGCAATCTTTCTTCTCGCCCACATCGGCCACCGAACGTCCAGCCCGCGACTCTCGTGTTTTCTGCTCACCCACCCACCGCTCCCTCTCTCGGGTAGTCGAACGAAGCTCATAGCTTTATGCATTCAGAAACACAAATATAATACCACGACCTGCCATCATCCAGCTTCGTATCCTAATAAACACTCGCGATAGGTAACCTGCTCGGGTTCACCCGCCCTTCGCAGCTTACCTTTTAACTCGGGTTTCGGGCTGTTGTTTCGGACCGCATTCCAAGCCCTGTGGGCTTTCGCTCAAAACTCCGTAAAATGATTCCCCATCCGTTTTCCTGCCGTCACTCATCATCTTCCGCAGTCGTGCTTCTACATCTTCTTTCTCGAGTTAGACACAAAGTCTCGAAACACATAGACATAATTCTGACCCTGCACTCATACCTCCTTTGGGCTACCAACTACTATCAGAGATATGTTCTCTGAATCATGCCGCGTCATTCCCAACTTGAAGCTTTGGAAGCTTGGGAACGACACAGATCGAGAAGCTCCACTGATTGATCAATTAAAGATCATGTTCTTTTGATATATCCAGTATGTAATCTTATTCGTCACGGTAAGTTTCGGATCCCATTTGCTTTACTTTCGCCAGCTAGTAATAGGAATAGGCACCCAAACTACATCTGCTACTCTCACTGACGCTGCTGCACATCGATCGACCAGACTGAAACAGGTGAATTACTGCTCACTCAATGCAGTCTTACGCTGCCGAGCGGAAACGGGACAGGTCCGTTGAACTGCCAGACCCAGTGTGTCCTCTGATGAGCATACGAGGGATGATAGTACGGAGGACAGTCGCTATCGCATACGATTCCTCAGACGGACCACTAAGTTACTTTCTCGGTGTAGAATTGAAACTCGTGGGTGAGTGAGATGGAGATGTTGTGACGCCTGTCTTGGCATTTTTATTGATCCTCGGATTAGCATCATGCCAGTGCCAGCAGAGGAACGTCTCGACACTCGGTGGTACCAGTTATTTTTTATTTGGTTTTCCTCCTGCATGAATATCTTGTCGTACGTTTTCAGTGCTGTCTTAATTTTGGCGCTACTCCCTAATCCACCTAATACCTGCAGATCTAGCACTGGCGCTGCTGGCCCTGCATTTTATTCCTTGGGAGTTTGCGACTCCATAGTCATCATCGTCATTGTTAACCTAGTGTAAGTCAACAGTCCATGAAATCTCGATCTGCAGCGATTGACCTTCAGCTAGATGCTGTTTATTGCCAGGATTCTTGTGGGTTTTGCTATTCTTTTCTGCGTATTTCCAGGGACTTCATAATGCGCTAGTGCTGTTTTCGGGCCAAAGCTTGGCATGCGAGCTATGGTACAAGCAAGGTTCTCATGGGGGTGAGTTATTTTTCCAATTGCCAGCATCATTCCCTGACCGATATCAAGGTATTTCGGTGCCATCATACCGGCCGTCTTGAATATTTTCTCCTCGGAAAGTTTCCTTATTCTGAACTGTATCATTGGCGGACAAACGATAGCTAGCTTGTCTCCTCAACTTAACGATACTCTAGGTATCGTCATCATTGGTATCATATCTCTTATGGTACGTCGGAATTTCTCCTCCTGCACTAAAAATGACATGTTTCAAGGTCACTTTCTGTGGATACCGCGTTATCCATTGGTAGGACCACCTCAACATCAATCATCCAGAATTCTGACAGAATGTTGATTCATAGGTACGAAAGTGTTGCATGGATCCCGAATGTAATTGCTTTCATCGCCGTGCTGGCTGTCGGTTATCCACAACTACACAAAAACCTGTCGGCTCCCGTCCCTCCAGCAACACCTGCTAATGTTATATCTTTTGCGTCCATTCTCGCATCTAACATGATCAGCTGGTGTTCCATGATCCCTGACTATGGCGTATACCATAGCCCTGATGCTTCTTCGTGAGTTTTCCCGGGCCATCACCGGGATTCTCCTTGACATTCCGATAGTACCAAAATTTTTATCTACACATATCTTGGGTTCTTTGTGTCCAGTGTAAGCCATTTATGTTGGTATCGGTTGCACCTTGACAATTTTCTTCTGAAAGGTGACTGGTCAGGCTCTGGGTGCCGCATTCGCAGCAGCAGCTCCGAGCGTGCCTGCTTGGAATGCAGGATTCGATAACGGTACTTCCGTCGGTGGTTTGTTACACAGCGTCTTGTTACCTACAGGCGCATTTGGAGAAATCCTGACTGCTTTGGTCGCTCTCAGCGTATCCAGTGCCTGTGCACCAACGATGTATACGTTCAGCAACAGTTTCATGGCTATTGCTACGTGGTTTTCTACGGTGCCCAGATGGGTATATGTCCTCATTTCAGAGGGAATGTGAGTGTCATCAAGTAGATGCAAGCCTCGGGAATGCTCATGATTTGGGTTCAAGCCTGATACCACTGGCCATTGTTGGTGCCAAAAGGTTTTATGCTACCTTTGTCGACATCCTCAGTACAAGTCTCAAATATATGTACCTATTGTTAGCGCTAACGTGCGGATCTCTCAGACATAATTGGATATTGGTCATCAGCATTCTCTGCGATAATACTCACAGAGCATGTGTTATTCCGACGAGCCTCGTTTTCTGAGGACCAATATCCTATCAAAACTTGGGCTTCATATGCTCTTTTGCCTAGCGGTATCCCCGCGGTAGTGGCCTTCGTGTGCGCGTGTGGAGCTCTTGTTCCATTCATGTCACAGGCTTGGTATGTAGGACCAGTAGCGAGGCAGGGCAGTGGAGATGTTGGTGTGTTCGTAGGGTTTGTGGTGGGAGCTATCACCTATGCGTTGGCGAGGAGTTTCGAGAAAACGCTGTACAAGAGGATGGGCAGAGCAGATACTTACTAGTACTTATATCGATGTGTACATGAGTTGCCTTTGACCAGTGGCAAGTTGATTTTTGATTGGTGCCAACTCCGAGGCCTCGATCCTTCTGGCAACTTGAATATTTGATGACGACGACGTATATCTGACCTGGACATACTTACCCTGACCATGCAATCACACATGACGAGACCGGAGACTGCTCCTGCAAAGCTTTGAGTTACTTATAAGTACACGAATCAGCGAAGTCACGGGTATGATGGGAGCCCATTGGGAAGAGGTCATCGCAAAATGTGATACCTCCGCATCCGTGTAGAATCTATAAAGTAGGATGCGACGGGTGGGAATCGTCTCGCCAGCTCGCGTGGCTTTCGCATAGATACGCTTAGATGCGCTTAGGAACGCTTAAGAACGCTTAGCTCGCTTAAACCTCTTTTTGGGAATACCGCGTGGCTTTCTCGCGTGGCCCGGTCACGGGTTTTCGAGCTCCGACTTAATACTGTTGCCCGTTCGAGTGCAGCACATGTCAATAAATTACCTTGCGGAGCAAGGTCTATGAATGCGGCGTGACCTGTGGTGGTAAACATCACAAAATATACACGTGATCATCTGACACCAGACACACCAAAATGAATTAGACTGCGTTATTGCTGATTCTGCACAGAATTACATTATGGCGAATGAGATAATGGTACAAAGTATCTTCAAGAACGATCCTCCCGAACAATAATTACACTACTTTTTTTAAAATCCATCCGGCAAACTCATTTCATCACTGGCCCTCACACATATGCCATGCTATGAACGGCCCGAGGTTCGATAACAGCGCGAACAATTAACCTCGAGGTTGTTTCAACCACGCTGATGCAAAAGCACACAGCATATGCGAGGATGGTATGTGCTCCAATATCCAGAGCATACGAGAGCGCGAATGCGTCCAAATTGATTTATACCTGAAACCTGTCCAAGATATGAAAAAATGCATAGTGACAAAGACTACTCGCCTGAATATGAACCACGACTCCAATTGATCGTCTGACCTGCGATTCTACAAATGTAGCTGCTTGCCATCATTTCTGTATGAAAGTCAACAGCCTGGCGCATTCCGCAATTAGATACGAGCAAATGACTAACTCAGATTATGTCATCACAACAGGTGTCATGGACTTCATTCACAGCGGACAATACGACGAACGAACGACATAACCATTATCAAAAATGCGGCAAAAGAGAACACAGAAAGTCCGTAAGTTAATTGTCAGACAAACAGCCCAAGCACCAATTTCTTAACTGACCACTCGAGGAATTTTGAGAGCAGCATCTCTCAACCGTTCTGCTAACAGAAGTGTATCTGCATACACCACTGTAGTATCTAAGTCGCGTGCCATTTTCTGAGCGTTTCCTCAGTAATAAATTAGGGTAAAAGACGCCAACATATAACTAACTGACGTACGATTAAACTCTGCTGGATCTGCACATAACACTTGATCTGCAAGGATGGTAGGAGAGTCTGTATAAATCATTCGAGACCCGCTAGACTCAAAGGCTTCTTGGACAGCGGCCGCAGTCTGAATGAAGATATGAGGAGTGCCGCGAGATTGGTGTTCGACTGATGAGACACTCATCAACGATAAATAATGCACATAACGAATTAAACATACTAAATATAAAAGCACATTCGGCGTTGGAAGTCTTCAGCAATTCGAACACGCTAAGCTGCATCGTAGACCCCTTCGACACCCTTTGGAAGATCTTCGTATAGAAGACGAAAGAATGCGAGAACTGGTAGAAGACACCGAGAGACGTTTTAATGAAGGTGAATATGGACCCATATGAAAGTTTACAGCCTTTTGTATCATGCTCAGAATGTTGTGCGTCTGAACGGCGAGTAATCAAAGATATTTGGCCCTGTTGATATTGTGGGCAAGTCAAATTAAGCGAAAGAGCTCCGCAAGGTAAAAAGTCGGCAACGCCGACCCCTAGTAATTGATAAAAAATTGAATGAGAGAACAGGGGAATGGGGGAATGGGCCAAAGGTGTGAGCACAGCGAGCACTTTTGGTCCGTTCCCCCATTCCCCTGTTCTCTCATTCAATTTTTTATCAATTATTTATTGCACATGCTAGGATGCAGCCAAGGCCAGGAAGCCAAAAAGGAGCGCGAAGCGCTCCGTTTGCTTCCTGTGCCGAAGGCACAACGGGTGTGAAGCTAGTACCATATTAATAGTACTCCCCAATAGCCAGACTCCACAATATCGGTATCACAACCTCTGCCTCAAACTGCTCTTTGATGTCGAAAAGTCAAGATCGTTTTCGGAAAATTACAAATTGAATGCCAGTTCAATACGATAGACAAGTCATGCACACCCGTAAACTCGAACGCGTGTGGCATGCAGTAGACTTTGTGTTTGCTGTCGTGCAGCAGTCTTAGTAGTGGTAACAAGACCAAATGTAAATGTTTGCTTTATCGAAGTAAAAGTAAATAGTTTGGGGTGGAAGCCCCGATAGTGGCCCTAACCTGCGCAAGAGAGAGCCGAGGCAAGCTGCAATTCCCATGGCAGTAGGAGTGAGAGCGATGGCGATGCAACGAAATGAACTTCGAATCCCAAATTGTAAGAGCGCAGAGCGACGCTTCGGCGTTGGAAAGAGGTAGCAGCTTGAAGGCATCCGCATCAGCAAAAGTACGGGCATCCACAAAGGTACGGGGAAGAATAATGGGAGGGATAAGGTAAAAACTAATATGCAGGGCGGACTGCATGAGCGCTTTCGGATGCCCTCTACCTATGGCCAGCTTTCCCACCGAGCTTGTCTTCATATTACATGCGGATGCATGCAAGGATCTACGAGGCCTTGAGGGCCCACCGAGTTGCCAAGTAGCCGGAGTTAACCTACAAAATAGAAATCAGGTAAATGAAAATTTTGGGAGTCACCTGAGGTTACGAAAATTTGCGAGAGAAGAAGAAAGGCAGAAGAGGCAGGCAGGTTTGAGCCTGCTGGAGCGTGGCGCGAGTACCGTGTCTGTGGTGCGGAGACAAGAGAGGCCACGTGCTGCACTACTGCTGCCACAAAGTCATAATTCTAACCACACCCGTACCTTGCTTCCTACTACTATCAGAGATATATTCATCAAGTCATGCCGCGTCGTTCCCAACTTGAAGCTTTGAAGCTTTGGAACTCTTGGAAACAACACAGATCGAGAAGCTCGATTGATCAATTAAAGATTATGCTGTTTTGATATAGTACTATGCAATCTTATTCCGAGTCATCACGGTAAAGTTTCGGATCCCACTTGCACTTTCGCCAGCTAGTAATAGGAATAGGCACCCAAACTGCATCTGCTACTCTCACTGACGCTGCTGCACATCGATCGACCAGACTGAAACAGGTGAATTACTGCTCACTCAATGCAGTCTTACGCTGCCGAGCGGAAACGGGACAGGTCCGTTGAACTGCCAGACCCAGTGTGTCCTCTGATGAGCATACGAGGGATGATAGTACGGAGGACAGTCGCTATCGCATACGATTCCTCAGACGGACCACTAAGTTACTTTCTCGGTGTAGAATTGAAACTCGTGGGTGAGTGAGATGGAGATGTTGTGACGCCTGTCTTGGCATTTTTATTGATCCTCGGATTAGCATCATGCCAGTGCCAGCAGAGGAACGTCTCGACACTCGGTGGTACCAGTTATTTTTTATTTGGTTTTCCTCCTGCATGAATATCTTGTCGTACGTTTTCAGTGCTGTCTTAATTCTGGCGCTATTCTCTAATCCATTAATGCCTGCAGATTCAGCACTGGCACTGCTGGCCCTGCATTTTATTCCTTGGGAGTTCGTGACTCCATAGCTATCATCATCATTGTTAACCTAGTGTAAGTCAACAGTCCACGAAATCTCGATCTGCAGCGATTGACCTTCAGCTAGATGCTGTTTATTGCCAGGATTCTTGTGGGTTTTGCTATTCTTTTCTGCGTATTTCCAGGGACTTCATAATGCGCTAGTGCTGTTTTCGGGCCAAAGCTTGGCATGCGAACTATGGTACAAGCAAGGTTCTCATGGGGGTGAGTTATTTTTCCGATTGCCAGCATCATTCCCTGACCGATATCAAGGTATTTCGGTGCCGTCATACCGGCCGTCTTGAATGTTTTTTCTTTGGAAGGCTTTCTTATTCTGAACTGCATTATTGGCGGACAAACGATAGCTAGCTTGTCTTCTCAACTTAATGACACTCTTGGTATCGTCATCATTGGTATCATATCTCTTATGGTATGTCGGAATTTCTCCTCCTGCACTGAAAATGACATGTTTCAAGGTCACTTTCTGTGGATACCGCGTTATCCATTGGTGGGACCACCTCAACATCAATCATCCAGAATTCTGACGGAATGTTGATTCATAGGTACGAAAGTGTTGCATGGATCCCAAATGTAATTGCTTTTATCACCATATTGGCTGTCGGTTATCCACAACTACGCGAAACCCTATCGGCTCCTGTCCCTTCAGCAACACCTGCTAATATTATATCTTTTGCATCCTTTCTCGCATCTAACATTATCGGCTGGTGTCCCATGATCCCTGACTATGGCGTATACCATAGCCCTGATGCTTCTTCGTGAGTTTTCCCGGGCCATCACCAGGGCTCTCCTTGACATTCCGATAGTACGAGAATTTTCATCTACACATATCTTGGGTTCTTCGTATCTAATGTAAGCCATTTATATCGATATCAGTTGCATCTTAACAAATTTCTTTTGAAAAGGTGACTGGTCAGGCTCTGGGTGCCGCATTCGCAGCAGCAGCTCCGAGCGTGCCTGCTTGGAATGCAGGATTCGATGACAGCTCTTCCGTCGGTGGTTTGTTACACAACATCTTGTTACCTACAGGTGCATTTGGAAAAATCCTGATTGCTTTGGTCGCTCTCAGCATATCCAGTGCCTGTGCACCAACGATGTATACGTTCAGCAACAGTTTCATGGCTATTGCTACGTGGTTTTCTACGGTGCCCAGATGGGTATATGTCCTCATCTCGGAAGGAATGTGAGTGTCATCAAGTGGATGCAAACCTCGGAGATGCTCATGATTTGGGTTTCAAGCCTGATACCACTGGCCATTGTTGGTGCCAAAAAGTTTTATGCTACCTGTGTCGACATCCTTAGTACAAGTCTCAAATATCGGTATATATTGTTAGCGCTAACATGCTGATCTCAGACATCGTTGGATATTGGTCATCAATATTCTCTGCGATCGTACTCGCAGAGCATGTGTTATTCCGACGAGCCTCGTTTTCTGAGGACCAATATCCTATCAAAACTTGGGCTTCATATGCTCTCTTGCCTAGCGGTATCCCCGCGGTAGTGGCCTTCGCGTGCGCGTGTGGAGCTCTTGTTCCATTCATGTCACAGGCTTGGTATGTAGGACCAGTAGCGAGGCAGGGCAGTGGAGATGTTGGTGTGTTCGTAGGGTTTGTGGTGGGAGCTATCACCTATGCGTTGGCGAGGAGTTTCGAGAAAGTACTGTACAAGAAGATGGGTAAAGCAGATGCCTACTAGTACTTTCACCGACATGTACATGAGTTGCCTTTGATCAGATACAACTTATTTTTTGATTGATGCCAACTCCGAGGTCTCGATCCCTCTGGCAACTTGAAGATTTGATGACGACGACGTATATCTGACTTACCCCACACTTGATCAGACTTGATCATGTAATCACACATGACGTGACGGCGGAGACTGCTACCATTGCGAAATTTTCAGCTACTTATAACTTTAAGTACACAGATTAGCAAAATCACGGGTATGATGGGAGCTCATTGGGAAGAGGGTCATCGCAAAATGTGGTACCTCCGCATCGATGTAGAACACTATATTAATGGTACTCTCCAATAGCCAGACTCCACAATGTTGGTGTCACGACCTCTGCCTGCTCACCCTCGCTGTCATTATTAAACAATCATGAACAGATACTGATAGCGTTAGACGTGCATGAGAAGGGGGCGGCGCATGCTGTGGCAGCCAAAAGTCACCACCAGGCACAGAATGTAAAGCGTAACCTAGTGCAGCGAGCCTTGTCCGTCCTGAGCCTACGAGTCTCGTCTGCTCAGTCAGCGAGGGGTTGAGCCCTCTAGTCGTGTTCATTGCTCTAAACCTACTGTACAATAGGTTGGCCAGTCGCATGCAATAACCAGCAGATGTCGCAAACGACAATTTCTTTCAATGCGTATCAATCAATTTAGCACATCTATCGAACAATCACAAGTTACTGGGTTAGGCTGTTGGGACTCAATGAGGATGCCACGAAAAGAGGGAGAACCTTGAGATACAGAGAACGACTATTAAATTACACCTTCCTGGGTGATCGTGTAATGTCCAGTGGCCGGCTTCCGGCTGAGTGTCAAGGTGGTGGACTCGGGAAGCTGGGCGAGATCTTGCTCCCAGATCGAATCGGTGCAAATGGCACCTTCTAGGACCGAGGCCTCTTTATGGTCCGATGAGATATAGGCGCGAAGAATCAGAGCGAACTTGGCCTTGACTAGACTGCCGTCTCTGTCTTGCATTGTGAGTTCCATGGAGGAAAATGAAAAGAAGATGACATGCTCAACGTCCTTGAAATAGAGCACCGGCTTGGGCTTTGAGTCTCCTGGGTTCATGGTGCCTGGGTGAATTGAGGCGAGAGAGATGAAAATGTTAGTCACAAACCTATTGCAATGTGCTGAATAAACCCAGTCTCGTTAATGGCCTCCAGGTAACCAGGGAGTCCGTGCTTAGGGACCTACACGATTCATTCGTGAGCTGTCAAGATGGTGACTGACAATAGCCAGGCTTACAGAGAACTTGAAGCTATCATCCGTCTGGGTCAAGGTGGTTTTTTTGCCGTCCTGCATGATACCTTGTGTTTATGCTAGGAATCTCAGAGTAGATGGGAGCCTCTCACATCGATCTGGACATGAGTTTCGGTGTCAACTATGTTCCCAACATTGACCTGCACTCGGCAGAAAGCAAGTCTAGAAGTTGAACGAGTCCAGTTTATGAGTATAATTTGGGTCCCTTTCCAGACAGGCACTTACTGATTCGTGTAGGTCACGCGCATGCTGTACCGGCCTGAGACGAGGGGTCATAGGTAAGTTTGCAAGTGGCGGACAACACCCACCCTTCTCTCCGAGTGAGGTAGTTCTGAAATATTGCAAGAGTTAGAGCCGTCGAAGCGAAACTGGGAGTCCTGACCTCCAGATGACAGGAAACAACTTGTGGTATATACACTCCATGTCGCTATGGAACATGAGCACAAGCGTCGCCTCCTTGCCAAGGTCACCACTGAGATTCGGGTCAAAATTAATGAGGGCAGCGTAACGACACTCACGTCTGAATGGTTAAGTCTCTGACGAAAGCGCACGTCATTGCTTGATATTGAGTGTTCATCGAGATACTTCGAGTTCTTGAGTCAAACGTTCTAAAGCCACAACCGAGTATAGTGAGCTTCAAGTCTTCAACAGTACTAGCCTGAGAGAGTCATGTATTGTCAGTGGATCTGCATGTAAGTAACATTGCAATGCGATGAAGTTAACATCCAAATTTGAGCTTGAATTACATAAGTTGATCTTTAATCCAAACACCATATTATACGTTCTCACGGCTGATAACAACCCGAGCTTGATTTTAAATTTGTGTCACTCCCTTCAACCTTATGCCATAGGCCGCTGAGGATACCGATGGGCTCACATCGTCTTGCGCAGCTACGTTTTCTCTCGAACCATATCGTGTCTTCCTCGCTGGAAGAAAAGAGTCCGACATCTTTGGTGTCATCGTATCCTAAGCGTTCAGCCTTGGGAGCGCTATTCTCCAGAACGCTGCCAAGCTATAGTGGTGAGTATCCGGTAGGAGTCCATGATGTCGAACTGTCGAGAAATCTTTTGGAAACTTCAAGCATAAATTCCATGCCAGACGTGGAGGCAGGTCTTCAAGTGAACATCACAACATCATTCGTATATTACGATTGACATTGTGACGTTCACTCTGCAACTACGGTCACTTCATTATACAAACCGTCAAGCCGTTTCGTTTCCGAGGCTGGTGTGTAGACCTCTGCTGCCCAAACTGTATAACTGATGTCAGACCAGATTTCACCAGATGATCTGACGATGACTTTCTTAAAATGACCAAGCGCATACCTCACTGTGTCTATGGAATATTAGCGTGTCTGACCATACCATATTCGCTCACTCGGGTTTGTTTCAGATCCATTCCGGGGTACAGCTTTCCCTGCGATTGGGGATGCGTCATCGATATCATGCTATCTGAGTAAATGACTAGTCATCATATTCAGTCATGGAGTTGGCTGCTCACGTCTGATGTATGTATTTGAGGCATGGAATAGTCTGTATTGATTTCTGATTATATCAATGTAGTTCGCATTTTGTGGCGAGATGGCTTCGCGTGGCTATGTCGTAGTTGCAATTGAATATTGAGATGGTACCGACCCCAACTCTCGTATACTACGATAGCGGAATCCAAATAGACTGTTATTGATTGGACTGGTCAGGATTATGGTACGTCAAGTTCCTAAGAATAGCCGTGCTCACTCATCAAAGCAACCGAAAAACGATACCAGTCTCCGGTATATTCACCTTGAAGTCCGTAAAGCGGAATTAGAGTTGGTTGTCAGGACCGTCTATCGAGGCGAACAAGTACCGCAGACCTGCATGTGCAGAGGGAACTGGGATTAGACACCTTGGACCAGCATACATAGACCCCACAAGCTCAATTATGGCAGGTCATTCGTTCAGTGGCAGCTTGACTAAATCTTTTTTTAACCCAGGGCAGTTAGCTGTCGCAGCCGGCTCGCCGGTGTGATTGTCTGGACCCGGCCACAACGTGATCGAGTATAACAAATTCTCGACAATCAGCTGATCGCTTTTCAGGGCTTGTCACTTGGAGAGGACAAATATCTACTCTTCTGCTGATCATCAATTCAGAAGTGTCCTCACTGGAGCTGAGTTTACTGTACTGGAGGACGTGGCCGCAACGGCTTCTTCCGGTCACGCATTCCTTTTGCGTACGTATATGATGTCATTGATCCCCAAAGGTGGTGCAACGGACCCAGCATTCAATGATGTATTCCTGATCCTTCCGGACTATATCAACATGGCTTGCAACCAAGCGTTCTGTGTAATTGATTTGAGGATCGACACTGTCGTAAAGTTTCTATAAAGCGGTAATAAAGTCCCGCGAGTAGACGACCGTGCCGTGGCGTCGGGAGGGCCTTTGTAATATTGGAGAATCGTGATGCTACATAGGGTATACAAACAAATTGCTAGCCAGCCCATAAATGTGAGAGTGCTTACATATGATACATTCTACTGAGTGTTCAAACCATGAATATTGTCACTTGTGACCACCTAATTTGACCGTCTTTTGTGCCCTTGTCTCCCCCTCTGCAATCTAATCATATGACTTGCATCAATCATCCTCCGAAGTTGAGCCATGAGGTCCTTTGCCAGGAAGACAGTGCCGTTGTCTTCCTCATAGCGTATCCGGTCTTCGTCAAGAAGCTCGAGAACGCGAATGTCCTCGGGTGACTGCGCGTAAGTCATGTGAATACCGAAAGATGGACACGAATTCGTGTCGAAAAACGATAACCCCTAGAGATTCTCGTGATGTTTCAGATTGAATCGGATGCACTATGTAGATCATAGACAATTGTATCAGGCTGCAATCAAGTATCATGAATGGTGACGACCTACATTGGACTAGACATATATCGCCCTTTACGCGTGCGAACGCGAAACGTGGATCCGTTTCAAGATGTACTTGTGTCAACATTGGCGGCGTGGCAAAGGTTATTGAGGATGGTGACTGCCGAATGTGTGCATTGGCATTGTATGTGAGTGTAGCAGTAGTCATGGACAATGAACAATGAACAATGGAATGGACAGAAACTGGATCCACGGGAGGAGCGAGAAAGGGTCACAGCAAGATGGTTGGAGATCCTTTATAGGGACAACCGAAGAATATGCTCTGTACCTACATGCTCCAACAATGAGGAAATAACCTCAAAGCGGTGAGGTTTCAAACAGAGGCCTCTTTATGATCGGTGTTCTATTTATGGAATCGCAAGGCCAGAAGCAAAGTGTCACAAGAGCACTTCGGGAACGTGCTGCTGGGACACGGGACTGACCTGTATGAGCCTAGAACAGGCATCTAAGATGGGAGTGAAAGCTGGTCGAGTATTCTCTCTCCGTCGCAATGTACCAGGTTGGCATAATAGATAAGAGCCGCACATATCCCATACAGCTGTACGTCATCCATGCCAATCACCGCTAGGGTTGACTCAGTGCAAGGTTTCGGTGTCTATCGGGATTGGGATTCGATTCTTCCGTCCAGTCAGTTACTAATAGTACGACTCGAGCTTAGACATCACAACCCGCCGAAAACGGTGTATCTTTGTTTCTCTTCCTTCGACATATGTACCATGGTCTAGCCTGCATTGGTATTAGCTCAAGAATCAAACGTTCGCTCTAATCAACCTGGATGACCAACCCTCACCGGCAGCGGCAGGCTGTGCTAAAATAATAAGCCGATTAGAACTCTGTGATACTTCAACTGTAAGATTTACTTCTGTCTCGAATTCTGAAATAGGCTACACTATCAGCAGGGTACGCAATTAATGACGGAGTTTCAGATGTGACTCGCGGTCACGGATGGCACGTTGTGCGGACGAGCGTCAGGCTTTCAAGAATTGCTCAATAGATCCTGAACATAGCCTGTAGTAAGGAGGTACGCAGTTGCCGCAGTACAACTCAAGTTTACACTAACACGGCGTCACGGCACGAAATGAAAGACACCCAGAGATAAGCCAGTCTGAGTCAGTTGCAATTTCAAATTGACTCTCGAAAGAAGCGTTGAACAGCCAATACCTGGAAAGTATTCGCCTAGACTTGTATCCGGGGTGATTTACATAAAACACCTGCTAAGGCGACAAGACAATCTGCACTCCGAAGACTTCATGGAGTAGTACATGAGTCATTGGATGTCATGGTCACAGTCCCTCGAAGACCTTCTGCTCATGGTAGATTTACGCCCCGAACACCACGGAGACTGCTTAAATGACGTCACCATTCGATGTGATCCCTTGGGGCAGACCTAGTCATGGTATCGCTCCTGGTTAACTGCAATGCTGCAAAGGTTTGTATCGAAACTCAATGTCTTTACGTCCATGTTTGCACTTTGATGATTCATTTCGTTACCTGTTGCTTGGATCGCAGTGGTACAGACGGAAAATGTGTTTATTTCCCTGTTTTCTCCGCTGCTAAATCAAATAGCGCGGTACACAACGGTATGCACTTTACTTGTCGTATTCCTCATCTTGCTATCAAATTCATATTCCCCTTTATCACACAAATGAGCAACCCCTGGATCTCCACGATACTCCACACTCCATTGATCGGAATAAATATCATCGATCCCCTGGTCCTTAGCCCTGGAGGCTGATCATGCATCTTCATAGGCAGAGGCTATTGATTTACAAAAGCAGAACCATACCAGATGCATTTATATCACTAGGAGTCATCTACTAATCCTCAGAATCAATTATCAACTTTGAAGAAACACTAGACATGTTTTTTCACAGCATGTCAGACCGACAAAGCGGGCAGCTTGATGAATGACTGCTTTTGAACCACTAAAGGCCAATTTAGATCGTTAGAAGGGTCGAGTGTCTGGTACTCACTTTGTACAAGCAACTTGCATGGAAACGGTTCTTGCAGGTCTTGCAAGGTTTCTGTGGAAGACTGCTATCCATGACACTGATAATCCTGCTGCCAAGTAAGGACCAATACGATCATACAAGAGACTTGCGTACGAGTAACAGATTGCACACTCCACTTGACCAGCGAAGTGAAGGGTCACATTTTTCGTGAATAAAGTTAGGCCGTCGACGATCGACCGTTCTGCGTATGACTCGTTAAGGGGACCAGCATTGATGTTCATCATTTCTATATCGCTTACCTGTTGCCAAACAATTTGTTGTACTCCCAGCACCCAAGCTCTCCATTTATCCTCAGATACCCCGACCATCTTTGTATCACGGATGTCAAGTCGGTGCAATGGCCAGTCGTTTGGCAATCTCAGAGACAATTCCAGCACTTGATCATCGACTGTGTAAGAGGCTGTGACCTCTCCAGCGCTCGGTGACACTTTGACGACGAGATTCTCCGTTGTGTGTAGCTCTGACGATGGATCAGCCTGCCGCACTTGCGCAAGCTCGGCTCTGATAATGCCTGGTGAGAAGTATGAAGCAGTGTAGTCCACCACGCGCGATAATAGCTGTCTGTCTGAACAGTCTGAGATCCAGGCTCGTATTAATGCTGGGACTGTCAGAAGCGCTCGATGATATATATGAGCGGCTAGGAGTCGTATGCCGAGGATGCTCTCGGGCTCAAAGTCTGAGGAAAGTTAATTTGAAGGCATGATGCAGGATAGAACCACTGACGGTCAATGAAAAAGTCGTCGACTGCCCAAATATCAAGTTTGAATGCCTTCTTCTTTCCACTGAACAGGCCAAGGACATCGAAAACATTAGGAATGAAGAAGTCTCCCATGATACCAAGGCTCCTCATCTGATTGAAGTACTGTGACCTAACTTTGATAGACTGAGGTGTACGTTAGCTAAGAATATTTATAGCCCGAAATCAATACTCACAGCATCGATGAATAAATCGAACATAATCATCCATGCTAGTAGATAACCAGAAACTTTGTATAGTTCCGACAAATCGATCTTGACATTGTCTGATTCAGAATCATAAAATCCCTCTGCTGACGTGAGATTCGATTGCAAAATCGTGAGAAGTTCAGCAGGTAGTTCAGCGCCGACAGTGTCCTCTGTCTCAACAGCAGACTCGATGACAAAATATTCGGTCCGCTTTCGAGCTGCTTTGTGCAGAAGGCTGTACCCCATGCGCTGAACTTCATAGGAAGGGTCGGTGAGGAGGTGACACATCTAGACATCAGGTATCAGCACAGGCACTCGAAACTATTGAAAATATCACTTCGGACAGAGTTTTCTCGTTCATCAATGCATCAGGCAACTCTTGAATGACCGCAAGCGCTAGTTCCCTGCACAGAGAACGTGGTTCAGAACGATCGGCACCATCTGTGACAACTTCAGCGTCATGCTCTACTGGTCTGAGTTGCGACTGACCAAGCTTCGTGGATACCAAATTCTTAACAAGCACCAAAATAGATTCTTTCTTCCCGTCCCAGCTTGCACGCAGGGGCTTGTTGGTAAGGACTAGATCTTGAATAGCGAGGATAAGGCGGAACGATCTCCCTAGCATCGTCAGTGTTGCGCTGTCGGCAAAAGAACAATTCTGGGTATAACTCAGCGATGAGTATGACGGCGACTTGCTATGACTGGCTGACATACCTCCAAGTTGTTCTCAACCACATCAAAGATAAATTCCCAATGATTCCCAGCAACGTTCTGCAAAATCGGGGACAAATGGATGAACAAAAGTGGCATCATATTCTCCACATCTTCATCGATATCATCGTCAGAAGAAACCCAAGCTTGACAGGTCTTCACGACATTGACAGCGCGCTGCTGTGGCAAGAACACCACATCGGACTCAGGATCAGGGGCTGTCGCTGCAAGACGACGAAGCAAGACGACTCCTGTCGTGTTTGCTCTACTAGCAGGCACTCCGAGAACATCCGAGGCAATCTCGTTCCGGTAACGGTCCATTCTTAATGGTTCTGGAGCAAATTCAGTGATGCTAGCGAGGATGGCCACGGTGGTTTGGGGCGCTATGGACGTATTATTCTGTGAACATCGGCCACGACTGATCTATGTGGCGCACCTGTCTTTTCCAGCCTACGTGCTAGATTCAACCATTGTTCAGAATCTGTTTTGCTAGCGCTCGCAAATAGGTGCTTCAACACCGAGCGCAATACTAGCGCATCTCTGACAGCATCTTCCCTTCTGGCGTGATTGACAACGTCCACGACAAAAGACACCAAAGCATCTGATGAAGTTGTCGCGCGAGCCGAAATGCAAGCGCTGACAACTTGACTGTGAAGACCATCGTCGCCTGTAGACAGGAGGTAAGTGGACAGTTGATGAACCTTCCCTAGCAGTCTGCGCAGTTCTGACCACGATACATCTGGCCCAAATAATCCACTTGGAGTTGCGGGGACACGTAGAGCATCATTCGCGTATTGAGCAAGTATCAATATGTGCCGAAGTGCCCACATATTCTCCTTAGCGATGCTCCGGTTGTCACCCAAATATGCCAGAAGAGCAGATGTAGCCCTGATGTATGGTGAATAGCCCCTTGAATCGAATTTCAGGCCAGAGATGGTTGGGTTATCGAACTCCGAGATGGCTGGGATAATGGACTCGACGAATGCAAGACTAGGGTCTGGTGGATCTGACGGAAGTGAGCTAATCATTGTGTCGAATTCGCCTGGTGTAGGGAAGATGTCTGGAAGCGGGGTGATATCAATGCCTTTCAGCTTGTGACCTGAAAGGGTTAGAATATCTTCTGGTCTACAAACGGTTTAGAAATGCAATAAAACATGCTAAGGCGCACTAACCGAGTGTAGGTAGAGCAATCTTGAAGAAGCTCTTTCAACTTCTCTTTAATCATTCCGCTCAGGACGCCCTGTAGTGCAATATCTGCCTTCGAAACCCAGAGATTCCAAATCCCTCGTGCGGTATCGATTGTAGGTGTTTCCAATGTGGAAAACATTACTGGTAGTAGATATCCTATGATGAAAACATTTGGGAGAACAAATGCCAGCGAGTCACTGGTAAGTTCATAGTTCTTGCTGAGCATGATGCGTGTGAACTCTATCACAGTGGCTAGCTTAGTGCACAGCGCATTCGTTGTGTACAGAATATCGTCTACAGTGGACGACAACGACGATACGAGCGTCTGGAACAGAATATCTTGCCCGTTTTCGGAGAGGAAAAAGTCTATTCAACAGTTAATTAAGAACACCAATACTCAAGGAGGACTCACTTTGTGCCTGAATAAGCCTCTTTACCAAATCGCTGCGATAAGTCGATACATCTTCATTTAGCACCTCAATAAACAAGTGCTCTATGGCGCCAGTCTAACTCGCCGTCCTCGGGCCGTAAATATTTGGGACATATGTCGGCGCCAATCACGTCCAGCAGTGACGACAGCATGTCGATCTGTTGGGAAACATCCACCAGTAAAACATGCCATAGCTCCACACAAATATCTTCGTCATTCCGACGAGACATGAACGCAGATATTGCCTGAGGAGAAGCTTGCAGAATGCGGAGCGCATTGTTAACAAACATGTTATCCACTCTCTGCCAACGGTTGTGAATTGTACTTCTACAAAGGAGGGAAGGATTACACACCACAGCGAAGTCGGTGTGCCGGAATAGATGAGATCCAAATGTTTCCATGAGCGTGATCACTACGCTGATGTTCCTCAAAACTCTAGCACTGGTCGCATCAGAGGCAAGGACCGTCTCGCACTTTCCAACAGTTTCCTGCACATACTTGCTTATGAGAGTGCGTGTAACCTCTGCAGGAAGGTCTTTCGTTTCAAAAGTGTCCACGAAAATCCGGAGCACTGTAGGTGTAAGAGAGAGATTCTCGTCTCCTTGAGAAAGAACCGCACTTGAGACGGTATCCCAGGCAGTTGTGAAAAGATCTGCGAAGGAGACGCGTCTTAGATCAAGATGGTGGTGGACGTAACACACTCACCAATATTCATGCGATGCAGAGATAGTAAGGAACTGACCATCAACTTCCCCACATCATTCTCGTCAGTTCTTAGGTGCCTTGCTTTAAGCTCTTCCCAAACGCGCGTGAATTGAGCTCTGACAAGCTCATTTGCCACGTCTTGTAGACGCGTGTTATTTGGCACCAGGCTATCTGAGACAGACCCAGATAACGCTCCGTGGTACTGAGATCCACTCAATAATCTTCTCAAGAAGAACACCAAACATTCCAGGAGAGACGAAAGGAATGAGGCAGAAGGCACCTTTCTCTCTAAAGAACTCAGAGCATGGCCGTTGATCGCTGCCCAGAACGAAGTGAAGAAATCGTCGAGGGGCATCCCTGTCCTGGAGGAAGCGGCGATCACCTGCTAGACGGATTACTAATCGCAATATGTTGCATTAAGGAACATACGGAGGAGGGAATTGTTGATAAAACAACAAGGACCGTAGGATACCCATCGACGGGTGATCCAGCACATCCAAGTTCAAGGAATTGAAGAAACTCGCGGTATGCCTCAGAAGAATATTCCTTGCGAGTGGAAGATGTTTTAGTCTCAAGTTCCTCGCTATCCGAATCCGAATCATCACCGTCCTCGTGTTTATCTGCGTCATACGCCCCTTCAAGAATCCACGCGTTTGGGAACTCTGTGGAACAAAAAGTTGGGAATGTTTGATGCAAAGTCTATTAAAATTGGTTTACCTTTGAGGAAAATTAAGACCGGCTGGAACAAAACATTTCTAACCCCTGAGTCCGTCTCGACCCATGCAGAACGAAGTAAAACGACGCTCAGTATGGGAATAAGTGGCTCAATCGCGCCTGTATAATTTTCAGTGCCCTGAACGAAAGAAATAGTTCCCAGATTACCTTTGTAACGTTGTAGCAACACAGACAATAGTGCCCACGTGGCCTGACGTACTTGAGGTTGCCCATGCCCAAGACCGTGGATTTCAGGGTCCGGAATCCAAGGCGCATGCTCACCACAATACAACGACGTCCAGAACAGTGGGTTAGATAGCAACCTAGATAGATCATCTAGAGACGTAATCTTTGAGGCAAGGCGAGCGTCTATAAAACTATGAGGAGAACTATGAGTATTGCTTTGACCTAACTTACCAAAGAGCCAGCGGAAAGCGCTCAGTGCACCAAAACGAAGCCGAGCATTCCTATCAAGATCACTCTCTTCATCTGCCTTGTTAGATTCTAGTTCTTCCCTAGGGGCTGCCGGAATAAATCTTCCGCCGGGCTTCTTGATGCCCGGAGTGGGAGGTGCAACAGGTGCAGCAGGATTGAGGTAAAGATGAACTCCTGAAGGATCCAAAAGAATTCTTTGGAGAAATTCCATGATAGAGGCCAGCATTTCGAAATTCACTAGTGTTTCTCCGTCTACACCTGGAGAGGTGACACTAGACCAGGACTTCTGTCCCAGCAGATATACCTGACGGTCAACGTCGTGGGCGAGCATGCACCATGTACCCATAAGAGCTTCAATTTGCTCAGATGTTGCAGTATCTCTCAAAAAGAAGATAGCGGCATCCCGGACAGCTGGGATCCGTAGATACGAGAAATGGAGTGCAGCGGCCAAGAGGCGGATCCGGCGGACAGCATGTGTGAAGAATACAGGAGCCCTATGAAACTAAATACAGTTAACGTCAAGATACGATTATGATTGCCAAACGACACACCCAAACCGGTAGCATCGTGACGAGTGCATCGCATTCCATGCTCTCATCTCCCTTCCTTGAGCTTTCATCGATCCATTTTGATTGAAGCTCTTCCAGAGCCCGTCCCTTCGTGACTGGATCCTTCTTTCCAAGGATCGAAGAATAATGACAAGTTCCGGAGGAAGTCTATGTATAAGGCCGAGAGTATCCAATGGATCTGGCTGCGGTGGGGCCGGCTTAGAGGGAGGAATGTAGACCTTCTTCCGCGGCTCTTTTTTCTGTCCTTTCTGTTTCTTCTGCTTCGCGACGACAGGGACTTCCAGAGGGGGTACACCTGCAGCTGCCTTGCGAGCATTCTTCTTCCGCGTACCCGAAGTCGCTGAGGACTTCGTGTTTTTCGGCATGGTAAGCTATTTACAAGTTAATAAGAGCTGCGAGATGCAGCGTGCACCGCCGAGCAATTACGATTACTAAGTGGTGGGGCTGAGGGTATGTGTGACTAGTGGTTGTTTGTACTTGTTGGATTCTAAAGCCTTTGATTTCCTTTTTAGAAAAATAGCCAAAGTGCGGTTCTTAAAAACTTCCTTCCTCTTACCATTAATTCGTCACGTCGTGATCTACCTCATTTTTGAGGCTTACAGCTTGTACATGACGTGCAGTCTGCTTGCTCGAGCAACGACAGCCTCAAGTAGAGCATGCTTTCACTCACAGCCCTTTCAGAGTCAAAGTAATGGGTTTGCGACGTTCAGAGGAAAACGCGCAGGTATGATCATCTGATTTCTGGCCAGATGCAGCTACAATAACTGTGATTTTTTTTTTAGGCATTTTCATTCCTCGTGTTTGTTCACGGAAGTATGAATCTACTGCAACAGCGTCAGCAGTTACTCCTTCTGTTGCTCTGCAAGAAAACATCGCAAATGCTCCAGCACCCACAGGTGTCCCGGCGGGTAACCTTCCTCTCGATCGACCATCATGGGAATCGATTAAGCAAATGATATCCTACCCGACACTCCGTGCTATTATTGAGAACCCTTACCAGTTCAAAACGATGACCCCCGTTCAAGCTGAAGTTGCACAGCTTCTCCCAGGGCTTGCTCTACCTCCTGAGTCAACATCTAACGACGTCTCGACATGCCCGCGAGATCTTCTGGTCAAGGCAAAAACTGGTACCGGGAAGACCTTTGCATTTCTAATTCCGGCTATCGAGGCTCGCGTGAATGCCATCCACGCTTGGGGTAAGCAAGCGGTTCGCGATGCAGGCCTTGTTTCAGACAAGCATCTAGAGGCGCAAGCTAGGAGACAATTTACCAGGGAACACGTCGGTACCCTTATCATCAGCCCCACCCGAGAACTCGCTACGCAGATTGCCAACACTGCTATCAAGTTGACCCACCATCACAAGGATTTTGAAGTTAGACTATTCTATGGCGGATCAAGCAAGCGAATGCAGATGCGCGACTTCATGAAAGGGCGGAGGGATATTGTTGTAGCTACCCCCGGGCGACTTCGCGATTTGCTGCAGTCGGAGCCTGAAGTAGCGAAAGGTATCAGTAAATGTAAAATGGTATGTCATCCTACGAGTTTTAGCATGATCCTCTTGCTTACCAATTTGTGGCTAGGTGATATTCGATGAGGCAGACATGCTTCTCGATATGGGCTTCCGGGATGACATCGATGCGATTATGAGCTATTTGCCACCTAAATCTGAGAGGCAGACATTTCTCTTTTCAGCAACACTATCTCGGACCGTTCGTCAGGTCGCACAGACAGTTCTTGCTCAGGGCCATAAATTCATTGACGTAGTTCCTGAAAGTGAATCCCCAGTTCACGCACACGTTCCCCAATATCACACCGTCCTCCCCACTCCATCTCAACAGATCCCCCACCTTCTTCGTCTCCTTGCACATGACCAGCTTACAAACTCGGGCAAGAGCAAAGTCTTATTATTCCTCCCCACGACACGCATGACTCAGCTTTTCGCGACACTCACTCGCGAGCTTTCAAAAGCAGTATTGCCTGCTGGAGCACACACTAAGGTGTATGAGATTCACTCTAAGCGCACACAGGACTCACGCATAGCCGCCTCCGATGCTTTCCGCGCTGACAACTCTGGAGCATCGATTCTCGTCAGCTCCGACGTCTCCGCACGAGGCGTGGACTATCCAGGGGTGACGCGGGTCATTCAGCTCGGCATCCCCGCTGCCACGGAACAGTATATTCATCGCGTCGGACGTACTGGTCGCCAGGGCTCTACAGTTGGACGTGGGGACCTAGTTCTTCTACCTTGGGAGATCGGCTTTTTGAGCTGGCAGCTCAACGAAGTTCCGCTAAAGCCAGTTACCTCAGATGAGCTCGCCCGCCAGGTCCAGGACCTTGCAGCTCACTACGACGCTGACCCTCAAGCAGTATTCAAGGGCGTACCAATCAAACTACATGACGCTAGGGGTCGGCCAATGCGGGGTGGACCCAGGATGTACGACGCGCCGCTTTCACCACGCCTTTCCTCGGAAGAAATAAACAACAGCATCGCGGCACTACTAAAACATATCGACGAAGAAGCCATCAAGGAAACTTTTGCTTCCCTGCTTGGCTATTATATCCCCAAGTCGCCCGAGTTGCGAATTCAGAAAGGCAATATTCTGGCTGGATGTAGAAGTTGGGCAACGGAAGCATGCGGCCTACCTACGCCCCCGTATGTCAGTGATGGCTTTCTGCAGAGGATGGGCCTTAACGACGGGCGCACGAAGCACTTTGGCAAATCTTACCGAGACCCTAGGTCTTCTGCGAGACCTGTAAATTCATGGGAAACGAGGGGCAAGCAGAACAAACGGTCTTTCGAGAATCCCAGAGGAAACTTCCGTCGGGATGAGCAGTTGGATGATAATGACCCTTCTGGCAACGTCGACGAGTATCGTGGTGCACGTTATGGAAGGGAGAGGCCAGAGCCGCGCAAAGAGTGGGGTCGTGACAATGACCGTTCTGGCGGCGTCGACGAGTATCGTGGCGCACGTTATGGAAGGGAGAAGCCCAAGAGAGAGTGGGCGCATCCCAGTGACCCTTCGGGCGATACCGAGGAGTACCGCGGTTCGCGCCATGGGAGGGAGAACAGACCACACAGAGAGTGGTCGCGTGATGGTCCGCACCGCGAGAACAGCTCACGCGGGTTCAGCAATCGGTGAGGGATCGGGCATGGCACAATACTAATGTAAACCGCATACAACGCATCACTCGACGTTCGTTATTAGCCTACAGTCACACTTATTAATATCATCCATAGAGCATTCGCAACAGCATTGATTTCACATGTTATTTATGGGTGATATGTATGCTCGCTAGTTTTTTAGTCGGTTGGTGGTGTCATAGTTCCGACACCATTGGCAATTGGATGTTCCTGCGTACTTGTCCTCAGCGCCTCTTCACTAACCATCGAATGTTCAGGGTGAGGTGGATGGAAGGATCTCAGTTGCTCCTGGATCTGCTCTTCGAGATCAGATTGTCCACAAGACGCTGCAATAAAGCCTAAGAAGGGCGGTGAAGGATTGAGTGGTCTCGAGCACAATTCGGGATGGGCTTGCAAACCCATGAAAAACGGGTGATCTGCAACGATAAATCGTAACAATCTTCAGATTGATTGCACATGACTATACCTTTGAGTTCAAGGATCTGCATTCTCTCCCCTTTTTCGTCCTTGCCCACAAATGTAAGACCGCTCTCCTGCAGACGCTGCACCTGTTCCGGATTGACCTCGTATCGGTGTCGATGCCTTTCCCACATTTTTTCACTGCCACCATATAACTTGCGAACCTTAGACCAAGTCTCGAAATCACGGTCAAACACAGTGGGTCGAAGACCCAGACGCATTGTCCCACCCATGTGAGTGCGTGAGATCTCAGGCATGAAAACGATAAAAGCATTCTGCGCGTCAGGAACGAACTCAGTCGATTGAGCATCTGCGGAAGATAAGAGAAGCAATGGCTAACGAGAAATGGAACGAACCTGATATGCCGAGCACGCTACGTGCCCATTCTATCACAGCCATCTGGAAGCCCATGCAGATACCAAGGAAAGGAATTTCCTGCTCTCGTGCCCATTTGATGGCGAGAATCATACCCTCCGTGCCGCGCTTCCCGAACCCACCTGGAACCAGAATACCACTGTCCCAATCTGAGTACCAGACGATCTCCTAATTATATGTACGACCGCCACTTACCCAGCACCGACAACTGCTCGCCACGCATCGTGGTATTTAGCAGGATCGGACTCCTGCGTTGAAGATTCCAGGTCCGATGACTCAACCCACTACACAACATCACTATAAGTCGTTTATTTTCGGGGGACCAACACAACCAACCTGAATAGTGAGTTTCCTGCGAACGCGGAACGCAGAATGTTCAAGAGCTTTTATGACAGACATGTAGGAGTCTTTCAAATCGGTGTACTTCCCAACAAGAACAATTTTGACCTCGTCGAAGAGGCGTTCTTGCCTGGACGATCGGGAATGAGAAACGATGATAGAGGAAGAGAAATGGCAGCACCCTTTTGTCACGCCCCTCCATTTCGCTTCCAAAGACAGCCCCTTGGAAACCCACTCCTCTGTGATGTTCAAATTTGCAAGATTGAGCCGCTTACGGAGATATTCAATAATTCGTTGTGACTGCAAGAGCAGAGGGACGTGATAAACAGATGAGACATCATGGACACCTATCACCTGCTCCGACGCAACGTGACAGAACATAGAAATTTTGTCCTTAGTAGAGGATTCAAGGGGTTGGCGTCCCAATAACCGGCACGCGATCTCCAGACAACGTCAGGTGTGTCATTTGGAACCAATACGTCACTTACTAGGTCGGGAAGCAAACCGAGCCCACGCAGCGCATGGACAGTAGTCTGAGTTGGCTTCGTCTTCTGCTCACCATGCATGTCGGGAACAAGTGAAACATGGATTAATGCGAAATTATCATGTCCGACGCGAAACTGGAACTGGCGCATTGCCTCTATAAACGGCGCCGACTCGATGTCTCCAACAGTGCCGCCAAGCTACAAAAAAGTCAATATCATGACGGAAAGTATTACATGCTAATTTTCACCTCCACGATACAGATATCAGGTTCCTCTCCCGATTCATCCACCGGTATTTTAGAAACACGTTGTATCCAATCTTGAATCGCGTTCGTTACGTGCGGCACGATCTAGCCATAAAGGATTAAAATTAGTGAGGTACGTAATAATTGTCATATACATACCTGCACCGTTTTTCCGAGGTACTCCCCTCTCCGCTATTCACAATAATAAACTCTAGTCAAAAGCTTAAGAGAAGATAAAACTCACCTCCTTGTCAATAACTTCGCGATAGATTTTACCTGTAGTAATGTTATTGTCTTTGGATAGTGTAACATCCAGATATCTTTCGTAATTCCCGAGGTCTAGATCCACCTCACCACCATCATTCAGAACGTAGACTTCGCCTGACGGGCGAATCTTAGACGTTTGTGCAGGAAGTCTCGCACTCAGATCTCACCATGTTCTGTTGGTCGCATAGTACCGGCATCTATATTCATATAAGGATCTATCTTGATAGCTGTGACCTTGAGGCCTGCAGTTTTTAAGAGTAGGCCTGTTGAGGAGGCTGGGGTGATAATAAACAACCAGATACAGCGTCAAAAGCGCTGTGTCGCACCGATAACACCCTTCCCAATCCCACTAACAACACCTCCAGAAACAAGAATATATTTTGTCATCGCTGCAACAATCGGGAAGGTGGCAAGCAGATGAAGGAACTCGCAAAAGACTACGAGCAGGATCCGTCGAAATTTTGAGAGACGTGATCAACAAATAAGGATACATATACACTGCCACTACCTTATCACACCCCTGAATGACATCGAACGTGTATGAGAAGATGATGTGACTCTGTTACGATACACAAGTTCCTCTAGTACATGCTGTATCGCGGCAATCAGATTTTGTGCCGTACGAGTTCGTGACACATCTTATACTGGGTAATTACATTCGAACAGCCTGAAGAGTAATACTACGACAGAGATAGATGCCTAGGAAGAGAAGGAACTATACCAGGCACTCACATCAGTCAAAGGACCGAGGGAAGTTGATTGCGAGGGAATAGCGAAAAGAAAATATGTGACTGTGTACTTATGTAAAATGAAGTCCTCGCTACGTGAGGAGTAACCAGCAAGTGTTGACGGGGACTTCTAGTGCTACACGCCACTGCCAGTTGACACATGCGTGCGCTTCTGGAAGGACATGGGAATCATGTCCGCTCCTGCATCGGAGTTATCCAAGATTTTAGCGTGATATTGTCGAACGCTAAGGATGAGGCGTGGTCCGAGCACAAACAGTTGCATGACAGAGAGAATTTGACGAATGCCATTATAAATCTGAGGTCCTGCGACAAGTGAGTTCTGTGGAAGTGATGAGTACAGGCCACCAAGTATCAGCGACGGAAGGGCGTACAAAGTACGGAGACAAATATCCAAGGTCTAAACAAGAAACAGAAACAAAGCTAGCATATACGAAACTTCAGTAAAGAAGGTTGACGACATTCATATTACGAGTGTACCTTGCAAAGTAAACCACGTGAGTTCTCATTAACACTGTAAAACAGTCCCCAACGACCCATCCCGTCGACGATCGTTGCAGTTCACGGAAGTGTTTTACAACAATCCAGACTGCAAGACATAGTGCGAGAACTTCCCATACAGTGGGGAGTATCCATGTGATGAAAAGAAGAATGAGAGCGTCCGCCTCCGGGTCATTGCAATAGCACAGATAGGTACCGGAGAGGATGAGCTCCTCTGGTATTCATTTAATCAGCAGAAGTCTTTCAACCGTAATTAAAACTTACCCCCTACAGTATGCTTGTTTATTATTCCAATCATCACTCCACAGGCGATTGTGACAGCCGTGAAGAATACAATGAGAAAAATAAGCATATTTCTTGATTTCTGATACATGGCATACAGCCGAGCGATCATGATAGCTTGCATGATGTACCAGTTAAGACGATATCACTGAAATATTACAGCTGAGTAGCTTACCACCTAACATGGCATTCGCGGCGCCACTCATCCAATTTAGTGTAAGATACGTAACATTGCCTGAGAATTCCAGTCGTCTCGGAAGAGGATTGAATATTCCAAACAAACTCACAGCTGTTGCAGTCAGTATGTTGAACCAACGAGCTCGTTTGGAATTTCACTCACCCCTACAATAGGAGTGCAGTTAGATAAATGGGAATGGTAAGTGCAAAGGCGTTAGAATACTCACTTCATCTGTCAGCGAGACTGTCGGAAGAAATTCTATGTCGCTGGTCAGAAGAAATACACGCGGTGTATGCGAGGAGACATACGCAGCATGTTGATGCTAATTATGAGTAATGGCTCATTAGCACAGCGGAAACTTGTTAACCTTCCAAACGCACACAATATATACTGCTCCAACGCAGCGTACCTAAAATATTTTAAAATAAGCATGTCTTGCCAACGGCACTTGTAACATAAGCTACGCACACTGATGTATAGAACCGTCATGAGGGACCAGTGATGCCTCTGCGGCGAATTAATTGCGTCCTTCTGACATGGGACTCCGCTCACCCAGATTAGTTCAAACTGTAATAATCATTCTTAGTGAGTTGGCTACCCCGGTAATGGCGTCAATTTACCTCTTGTCCACTTGTCAATGCTGAAGTTATCATGAGGATATCGGGGTGGTTCTTTAACACTGCCTTACTTACCCCAATCGTATATCACCGCAGCAGAGGAGGCAACTGTGAAACAACTGAGACATAACCGACATTATCCGACTGGTTCTTCACGAACCTATATAATAGCTGGAATTGATATTGAAATTGATCTGCGGCCACCAGGAGGGATCATTTGAGATTGCGGTCATATTTGAGGGACGATGTGAGTCCGACTCACTAGCGGGAGTGAGTAGCGAACTTAGTAGAACATATGATGATGGAGTTCGTGCTAGATATACCACCACCCAGTGCCCCATTGCTAATAAAAAAGGCACCATGAATATCAACGTTGTTGACTAACCAAATTTTAATTTATCATCGTGGTGTGATATCAAGGAGAACGGAGGAGCTACTCCAAGCCCCTCTGAGTCGATCGAATCAGGGTAGAATTTGGGTGAGGTTGATTACGGATCTATAAAG